ACACAGATCCGATTGTTTTTCCAGGTCGTGCTTCCTCTTTGTGCTCTTTCCTCCTAACTGAAAGCTGCTGAAGACAGCGTAATAACCAAACTCCGCAAGGACAGGACACCAGCTGGACTGGCCTGGCCTGGGAGAAACCTGACCCCTGTGCTACCTCTGCACTTAAGGGAGCGGACACATTGTTTTGCAATGTGCAGTGCTAAATTCAGACTTAACATTCCGGCCTCACTAGAGGGCAGAGGAATGTCAGTGTTCTAGGACGTTTTTCCAGCTAAGGTCCGTGTGTGTTGGAGGGGGAACCTTTGCATCAACATTTTGTGGTTTACTGTTCATTATGAATGATATTTTTTAAAAAAATTTTTTTTTAAACAGGGAAACTGGTGTATGAAAGAATTCTGTCAATGTGCGTGGACAGTCGTGTCTCTTTGCCAGGTAACTCTGCGTTTGTTTCTGCTGTGCTTCTGGGAAAACTCATGTCTGAACGGACCTGAGAAAGGTTAAGCAAGACCCGTGCTGCTATATCTCCTATGAAAAAGGCTCCAAGTTGAACGCAGTGATTTCTAGTTTTTAACAGTAAAATCTTGTTGCTTATAGCTTCCACCATTGATAGTGTTTATGCAAGTTTACATTTTAACTTTGAAGATTATACCTAAGGTATAATAAAAGGTGCTTGAAGCTTTGATGTTACTAAACATAAACTGTGTCTCCTGAGACTCTTAATCACAGGGAAGGATATGTATGTAGAGGGCAAACTGAACATGAGTGGCCTACTTAGATGAAGGAAGACTTCTCCTTTTTTTCTTAGCATACACTCTTTTCTGAAAGTATGACATTTTAATAGTTTAAAATTAATGGTACAATTTAATGGACAAAGCTGAGAGTCTCAGTTTTTAGTAAGCAGATGTTTTTGTTGCTACACTGGAAACTTGATAGTTTTGCTTTAATTAGGGAAGAGTTTTGAAAGAAGCAGTGGGCTGTCGTTGAGGTGATGATCAGTTTACTAGGATAATGTAATATTTCTAGCTTGGGCCTATTTTATTTTTTCAGTTGAAGTCCAACACAATGTAAAATTCTAATTTGACATTTACAATACAAATGTGCATGGAAGAACCTCTTTAGGAAGGCACAGAAGCATTCCCTGGAATACAGGCATTTCCTTGCTATTTGGGATGTATTGAAGTGCATGTCTTTGAAATAGGAACCATTCTGCCTCTAGCTGGCAGTGCAACAGTGCTGTTAGCTTGCACTTAAATCTATAGGATTCGAGGCAGAAGCTTGAAACCTACACATATTTTAATTTGAAATAAACTTATGGAAAACATTTAAGAAAAATTTGATTGTTTCAGATCTGACAAACTGCTCTTACAGACATTAATGATGGCAGACAGTTCCTGCAGCGTGTTGCGATTACTGAGCACAGTCACCTCCGGAGCTCAGGCTGCAGCTGTACAGCTGCCAGGGGCATTGCTGGGGGGAACTGCCCAAGCAGCTCGAGGAGTGGGAGGGAGAAGGAAAATCTGTGCTGTGCTTGCTGTGCCTGGCACTGTGAGCCCCTGGGGATTTCAGGCCCAACCTCCCTGCTCATCCCGCAGGAACCAAGCGAGACGAAGTTGGATGAGAACTCTGTGGTCCTAGATAAGAAAGAACATCTTCTTGTGCACAGAGAGGGTCTAGCGTGTGGCTTCTGTAGTCCTGGAAACTTTGTTGTGGAGCGGGAGCTTCTCACCTTCTGGGGGCAGGGACAGGAGAGCACTGCTATTTTAAAACTGTTTCACGAGGAAGTTAGGAGCAGGCATTCACAGCAGAAGCTGCTGGTGTAGCTTTATCAGCCGGGAGAAGAGGGACCCATCCTACTCAGGCATCTTGCCTCAGACCTGGGTTGATCCCAAGAAGCCTATTTTTGCCTTCTGTTGCAGGCAGTCTAGAGAAGGAGGCGGCAGTTGGCCATGCGGCTGCCTGCCCACCTGCCCACAGCACTGTCCCCCTGACCCATCTGTTGTACCCCGCAGCACCAGCTTTTTCCTGCTGGCAGCTGACACAAGCAGTCCTAGAGCTCGTGAGAGGAGCATTAGATATTTAGTGTACAAAAACAAGTGTTCTCTCAGCGCTTCGTATTTCCTACTTCTTGCGATTTAACAAATATTAACCTTTTAAAGTAAAGAATTTGAGTGCTTCAGTCTCTTTCTTAGGTATATGTGTGTTACAGATATCCTATTTTGTAATTTTATTTTATTTGTTTACAATTTCTGCTTTTGGGGGGAGGTCGAGGTTAGATTTCTAGCAGATATGAGATTAGCTCTGAGTGCTTGACTTCAGCTACTGAGATGTTACATAATGCAAAATGGAAGCTCTGGTTACTTCTTGCTCTCTGTGTACTCAGCTCTTACTGAGGCAAACGTATTGCCTAGTTTATTACAGTGCTCCTAATTTCTTATTGAAAGAGAATACAATTTTAAACGTAGAATATGTAACTTGTTTCCAGAAAGAGAGTAACTATTTCTGGATTGTGATTTTTTTTTTTCCCCCAGATAATTTTTCTCCAGAGAGTGTTAACGATACAGCTAAAGAAACTTGCTTAAACTGGTTTTTCAAGATTGCTTCAATCAGAGAACTCATTCCCAGATTGTATCCTTGCCAAATGAGACTCACAGAGTGTGTCTGCAGGCTTTTTGTAGACTTTTCCAAAAATGAACACATTTGTTTCAATAAATCGTGCAGCAATCTGGTGTTTATACTGACTTTGTTTTGATTGTTCCAGGCTGTATGTTTTGAATTGAATTTTGAGTCATGTTTCGTAGTAAACTGAATGCTGAATTATTGGCTAAGAGCAGCGTGGCAGTGATACAGTAGAGTTGATGCTGAAGACTTTTAACAATAAAAATCTTGTAGATAAATTGTAAAAATCAAAAAAGTGTAGTGAGATTAATTACAGAAGGCCTTGGAATAGTTTGTTCAATGTGTATCTGGTATATATATTTTTGAGTTTTTAAATGGCATGTGTCTTGGTTTTGTCCTTAACTTGCCTTCATTTTAGTTACGTGGAAGCAGCAATACTGAAGTGCAATAAGTTCCTATCCAAAACGTAAGAGGAAATGTTAAATATGGGAAGGAAGTGAATGAGCAGGCTTATAAACTAATTTCAGGAGCTAAATGTGCAAGTTCTGTGATTAATGATGGATATGGATAAGGTCTCAATAGATCTGAGAAGAAACAGTGCTGAGAGGTTTTGAGGTTTTTAGTGAGAATACAACGGAAAAATTCAAGGTGAACTGTGATATGATTTGAATTGCGTTTGTGCTTGCAGTTTTGGAATATGTGTATATTTGTGACGTCAGGAGTTTGCAAATTAAAAATGAGTGGCTTCAGATGGTGGAGGGGGAAGCAAGATTGTTGAGTTGAGAAATGTGGCAAAAAGATGGGATAGAAAACTGAAAGGAAGATACTGATGTGTGTATTGCTAGAGACAGAGTCGGAGAAACAATTCAGGAGCAACGAACCATTATCTATTGAAAATTTTGGTGTAAGCCGCATATGTTGCCAAACAGTGTCAGCTGCTGAGCTGAAAATGTTCCTTCTCATGTAATTGTCCTTTTTCAGTTGTATTTTGAAATGAGTGTTGTAAGCCAAATTGCCACTCTAGTGACAACTTCATTATCCTTAAAAAGCCGTTCTTTTACTTGAATTGATGGGCCTCATCTCCAGGCGCTAGTACAGCTCTGTCAAAAAGGACCTGTGGGAAAATGAAGCATACAAGGAGTTCTGCCAGTTCCCTTTTAAGCAGCTGCTTTCTTCTCATTGAATTACAGCTCTTCTTATAGCTCTGCTGTTCCTCCAAACTAGAGGAGGGGATTTTAAGTTGTGTTGTGTTTTAGAAGCCAGGCATCCAGCCTGGCTGTCTGCACTACTCCTGATGGCAAATGCTGCAATTTGAAACAGGATATGTGTTACTATACACGTAAAATTTTACTTCTGAAATAAGATTTGTGCTAATATGCTGCTTCTTCGGTAGGTGTTTCTATAACTCACGCTCAGTTGTCAGTCTATGAGGCAGCCACTGGAATTATCTGTAGGCAATCTAATTCTTTTATCAATTGTTAAATCTTGTTTTCTTTTTTGAAAACTCTTACCAGGGGTATTTCGGAATGTCTCCCACGGTTAACGTCTATGATTAGAGGAATTGGAGACCCACTGGTGGCAGTCTATGCAAGAGCATACCTTTGCAGGGTAGGCTGTTGTTTAACCCTTCAGATCTGTGTCAAGATTGATTGCAGCTAGCTCTGCCCCTAAAGGAAAACTTCTTTTAACGACTGTTCCTGTCTGAGGTAGTCGGCAACCTTAAAACAAACAAACAAAAATTTCTCTTGTTTTAATAACGGGAAGTCTTTCTTTAAGTGTTTATAAAAGTAAAAATAATCTCGTGTGCTGCTTATGCCAATTTTTCATTTTCAGGTAGGGCAAAATGTTAGGGTCCTAAGGAGAAGGAGAGTTTGGACTCTGTTGTGTGCCTGCTAGGCACTGCTTTCCATAGTTAGTATTTGCACTTTCCTTATGTTTATCTTCCTCCTTCTAGAGTGTCTGTGGCAGGCAGGTGGCTGACAAGCTGCTTGGCCAAGGAGCCACTTGGTCAAGTGTTCAGACAGTGGATTGTGTCTGACTGAGCAGCGTGGATGTGTTCTCTTCCTCAGCTACTCCTGCAGTTACCCTTACAGCTCAGCCGAGATAAACTTACCCAAGAGGAGATCCTAAAATGATTTAAAAAGGCATCAATAGCAGAAAAATACTTTTGAAGTATGTTTTTGAAGTAGTGGCCAAGATCTCGACTGTAACTGGAAAGTGGTGGGGCTGCTCATGAGCAGTACTTGCAGGAAATCAGCTGCTGTTTGTTCAGTGTCGCTGTATCTGTCCTGTTTGAATAAGCTGTCCAGTATGCTTTTGGTGTAGTGTCCGTGGCAATTGCTGCCCTAGCAAGTAATCACTAGTGTCTGGTTTACTCTGAGAGATGAGCTGCGTAGTTTATTATAACCTTGCACTACGCTCTTGCCTGTGGTTTTGTCGTAGCCTCACCATTCCCTGTGCAGCTCTTTTAGCTGGATCAGGAACAACAAAAGGTGGACTCTGCGCACAAACTCTTTCTTCAGAAACCTTGCACTGTGTAGCAGGAAATAACTAGTGAAAAGGATGTGATTCAATGCTGTTTGTTCATTTGATATGTGTGACTAGGGGTACTCCTCCAGAAAATGTATTTTTATCTTACCATGAAAAGAGAATTGCAGGTGATAGATAAAATCTTCCTGGTTTAATACAGGTTGGGATGGAAGTGGCACCACAACTCAAAGAAAGCCTTAACAAAAACTTCTTCGACTTTCTTCTAACATTTAAACAAGTAAGCAAATTAGGATTTTATTTACAAAATCACATAAATGCACTCTGTAACAAAATTGTTTTAAAATATTTTATAATAAATATTTTTAAAATATTTTAAGTTCTTAATTCTACATTTAGGGGTATTCCTGTATGCAGAGGTAGTATCAGAAATTTTACATATATTCTGATAAGTTGAAACTGCTCTTTTCAGCATGTTTCCATACTTCAGTAAGAGATGTTATAAGCTTGGTATTTTTTCTCCAGCTTGCAAGGAAAGCTTTAGAATATCTGTGTGTATTTGTGATTTTGTCAGTTGTAGTTCCCATTCATTCACAGGCTTTGTCCAGGTTATCATAGGTCCTATTAAATAACTTTTCACAGCAACATGTTTTTGTCTTTTATTTCACCAGATTCATGGGGATACAGTTCAGAATCAGCTGGTGGTACAATGTGTGGAGATTCCTTTGTACTTGACTCTGTATTCACCTGCTATAGACTGGATTTTACAGTGTATTGCCTACCGTGCTCCTGAAGTAAGTACGTGTGGTGATGCTTGATGCTGAAAGAAAGATGGAGTGAAGAGTTAGTTTTGCCTATTTTAATACCTCCTCAGTCAGTACGTACATGAGTGTGGAAGTGCATGTCAAGAGCCTGGGTACGACTATTTCTTCTATACGGAAGAACGTTAATTTCCACAGAGCTCAAGTTAGACTGCCTAATTCATGGGCAATATTTCCTGTTTGTTTCTTCTCCTTTAGCTAGTTTAGTCTTTATTTCCTGAATTCATTAGTTTCTTCTGTGATACAGATATAAAGCTGATGTGATAAACTGTAGCTTTGTAATTTGTTAACACAGTCAACGGGCTATTTTAGGCTCGGTCAGTCTGCTTTGCATTCTGTGGCAGAGCTGGTAATCTTCACCTCTTCTGCCAGAGATTATTGACCTGCCTGGCAAATAGTAGTTACTTTGAGAAGTGACATAGCTTAAGGATTGCAAATTTGACTTCTAAAAAGTGGTGGTTTTTATTAAAAAGCCACTGTACCTGTTCCAGTAGGTGGAACACTGTTCTGTTGTGTTGGAACTACAGGATAGGACAGGATTATTGGAATGTATTGGGTAGGTGATTAATACAGCACTTAGTAGACTCCACTACAGTAATTAAAGCTGAACTTATTTGCAGAGTCTCTACTTACTAATTTTAATAAGTAATTCTTCCAGGTTCTGCTTACTGAGATGATGGAGAGATGCAAAAAATTGGGGAACAAGTAAGTGTTGCGCAGTGTAGAAGACATGGGTCTGTAATGAGCATTCATGAGTCCCTGTAATAAAATTTCCCCTCCACACTTTTTGGGTGTGGAGTAGAACTTTTGTTCTCCCAGTAGCTTACTAGATCCTGATTATGGACATTTATTTTCCAGAAACGAATTCTGAAATATGGTACATTACTTGTAGAGTGACAGGTTGCTGCATTTTGGTTCCTAAGCCCAAGTTTTGGACACGTAATGTGTTGTTCATCAGCCACGTCTCTGATTCCTGGTTGTGCTTCATTTTTCTCCATTTTCCTCCTCCTCACCCCTAGCCCCCACCGGCCACAGTCAGCCCACATGTGCATATCGCAAGGGAAGTTGCAAAGCAGCCCATGCCTCTGGAAGATGGCTATATTTAAGTGGCAGCTGTTTTTAAACATTGATATCCCAGTGTCTCCTAGAAGACTGTCTGCAGACTGATCACCTTCATTGAGTAGTTCAGGAAAATGATATGAAAGTTTGGATGTGTGTTCTGAGTTGTGTGGATGCAGTCTGGCCTGCTGATGAGCTAGTCTCAGGTCATTTTATTGGGTAGGGAAACTGAGTTCTGTAAACGTTTTCAGCTGGTTTTTTTCTGATGTGCTTTGCACAGTCTCTGTTCTGCAGTGGCTGAGGAGCTAAAACCTGCTAATCCCGTAGATAAGGCATGCCAGCATTAGCGTTCTGTGACTCAGCTGGGGAGTGTGGAGCGTATGTGATTTTAAAGATGTGATGTGAAGATGCTATTACGTCAGGGTGTATAATATGGGTTAAAAATAAGCCGCATGCTCTGCTATATCGATTATTTTAGATAGGTGTTGATCTGTTTTGTGCAACATTTTAAAGTCACTTTGAGCATTTCTCATTATACAGATGGTCTGGTGCCTCCTTTTTGTGCTTGTTTGGTTTTTGAAGTAAGGACAAAATGTTGAGTATAATGAAGTGCGCTTTTATTAAAGAAGTGTTTTTGGGACATGCCTTTTATTGGGAAGTTGAGTAATCCGGTTTAGATTATCTATAAAGCACAGTTGTATTCTTTTAAAGTGGAGTTCTGTGGTTTTATGTCTTCTTATGGCTGTCAAAATACTACAAAGCAAAAGGCATCAGTATATAAATCTTTCAATAAATCTCAGTATGTTCCGTGAACTACGTTGCAAGCATCTAAGGGAAGCGACAGCCTGCTTTTCTGTATTGCAAGTGTGTGCCTAGTGAGCTGGAAGTACTTGTCTAATGAGAAAATGCAAATTCCAGTCAAGCTGCAATGAGACCGGTAATGCTCAGTGAGGAGCACAGTGGATGCTGGGCTATTCTGAGGGCTCCAAAGAACTTCCCTCAAGGTAAACTGCCTTGTTTTATGAGGCAGTCTCTGTGCTAACTCATGACTGCGTTTGCCCAGAGGAATTGGCTTTTGAGTAACAGTAGATTTTTTTCTCTCATGTTTGCATAACAGTATCAACAAACTTGAGTTTTACAGCAATGCAATGAGTTCACTCCTCCATTGGTAACTTTGGCTTGATAGTAACACCAATGTGGGTCTGAATCATGTCTAAATAGGCCATTGCCAGTTATCATATGGTAATGACCGTTGGGATTTATTTTAATCCTAACAATGCATCTGCTGGAAACCTGACTTTTATAATGCATATATATGTGTATTTTAGTTCAGTGAGAAGAACTTCAGTAGAGATTTGCCCTGCCAGAGAGTACTTCTGAACTGTAGTTAAAAAGAGAGAGTAGGTTTCTAAATGTGTCAGCTACTCCTGATTTACTTGATCTTTCTGGTAAACTTTGGGTGAAGTAATGGCTTCAGAAAAACCTATGTGGCACAAGTACTCTGCAGGCTGAGTTACCTTTTCCTTATCTGATGGCTTAATGTTTTCTTGTCTTGCTTATGCACTAATAATTCTCGTCAGTGCAAGCCTCATTTGTGAAAGGATTTTCTTCCTTAGCCCCCTTTTTAAAAACTAGAATAGATGCTGGGCAGTTATTAGTCTAAGAAGTTTAGATTAATGTAAATGAAGGGACAACAAAACTGTAGTTGATGTTGAGCTGTATCGGTTTGTGTTATGTTTGTTGTAGTGCTTTGCTGTTGAATTCAGTAATGTCAGCATTCAGAGCAGAGTTTATTGCTGCAAGATCTATGGACTTCATTGGCATGATAAAAGAGTGTGATGAATCTGGATTCCCAAAGGTAACTTTTTGCATGTAATTTGTAGCAATTCCTGTTTGTTGTCTGACAGAGTTCTGTATACTCTTAATTGCCTACGTAACTTGCACATCATTTAAATTAAAGGTGATTTGATCAAAAACAATCCTTCTGCATAGTGTACCTGCTAAATCGGTGTTGGACACATATGCATCTTCTTTTAATTTAAAATTTCTCATTAATTTTCAGCATCTCCTCTTTCGGTCCTTGGGATTAAACTTGGCATTGGCTGATCCTCCTGAAAATGATCGCCTGCAGATATTGAATGAAGCCTGGAAGGTTATTACAAAGCTGAAGAACCCACAGGTGGGTTATTGTCCATTCTGTGCTTAAGGCAAAATTGCAGCAAGTTGTTTAGGAAACTTAGACTTAGCATGACATGGTTTACCTTTTCTGCGGACAGACAGTTGCTAAAAAATATGATGCCTGGTAGCATTCTTACATGATCCCTGCTTTTCAAAGCTCTGCTTAAGCTTAACTTAATTCTATGTGGCATAATTGTACATAAGCAGGTTTGCCATTAGCGCTTGATCTTTAGGTCTGCGTGAATTGCACTCAGGAGTCAATTCCTTTAATCTTGTAATTTTTGCAAGTATATTTTTCCTAACCTGTAAATATTGGTAGTCATAAGACATGTGTTTCTAGGATTATATCAACTGTGCTGAAGTGTGGGTGGAGTACACATGCAGACATTTTACGGTATGTAAAAATTACTTTGTTTCCTTTGAAGGATTTTCTGATACAGACTAGGTAGCTATATTAGCAGTTGAGTATTAGAAGTGGAAGGGCTATGATATTCCATATAAGCATCTTAGACTTCAGTAGTGAATGAAAAAATGTATTTCCTTTCATGAAAGATGGATAGGGACAAAAGATGCAGCTTTGAAGGAGTCTTCACTACTCCCCAGCGCTGCATATGTGTTATCCTTTTATTTTAATGGCAGATGGACTGGTTTAAGTAGAGATTTACTGGAGCTATGGCTAAAGTTCCTTAGAAAGCAAATGGAAAATAATTTTCCATTTGGAAAATGGAAATAAATTATACAACTTTTTTTCAGTGACTCTATTTATATGGCTATTTCATTGCTGTATTTTCTAACCTTATTTTTCACTACACAGAAGCGAGAGGTCAATACAGTTTTGGCTGATGTTATTAAACATATGACTCCTGATCGAGCATTTGAAGATGCTTACCCACAGGTAAAGAATTTATTTTGCTGAATTTGTAAAAATCTGATGTGCTTTTTCTTACATGAAGTTAATTCTTAAATGTTACTGATGTCTCTTACCACAAAATAATTATTTTAAAACACTGGCTATAGTTTGGGAAGCCATTTGGAACACTGTAATGCTGTGATTTGTTCCTCCATTTGTCCCTGCACTTCAGTTTTTCAGTTGAGAGGAATGCTGAGCCAGAATGATTTATGCATTTAGAAGTGGCACTAGTTAACAACTACATCAACAGTAGTGTTCTGCAGGAGAAAATTAACAATCATGGCAGGCAGTTTAAACTGAGGTAAACCATAAAATAATTTATCTGTACTTGGCATTGTTAAGACTTCAGTGAATTGTTATGCCCAGTTCTTGAGACTGCGTGCCAGGTGAGGTGTGGATTAGTTGAATAGGTTACTTAGAGGGTAGGTAAAGTGCCTACAAAAAAGATTTGACAGACTCGTTTGGGGGGTTTTTTTATTTGTTTATTTGTGTTGGGTTTTGGTTTTGTTTTTTTTTTAGTCTAGAGAGCTGGAGGACATGCAGACTATAAATTGGAAAAATCTGCCTAACTATAAAAAGTAAAGAACAAATAAAGCCTGGGCAGGTAGGTCACCCTCTGTTCATATGAGTTCTGAAGAGCACATTGGAAAAACATCTGTTAGAACAGCAGAGCTGTGATTGACCCTGCTTTGGGGAAAGAAATTGAAGTGTCTTCCAACACAGTTTTCTATGAAACTAGAGATGAATAATCTCTGGTGTGGATAGTCTTAATTTAACTTGTATTACAATAATTTTTCCTTTTTTTTTTCTTTTTCCCTCTTTTAGCTGCAGTCAATTATTCAGAAAGTTATTTCTTACATCTATGACTTCTCTCTGCTTTTTTCAGTGGTAAGTGACACTCTGTTTATGACATTTTTTTAGAACTATTTTGTACTGTTTCTACAAGAGAATTTACCTGATTTGGATATTTAGATTGTTTGCAAGCTCACATACTGAGAGGCCTTTTTAATCAAGTAGGTAAGTGCAGAAAAGTTTTGGAAGCTCTCTGCTGCTTCCTACTTAAATATTCATTAGCTCCAAATATTCATCAACTCCAGTGTTCTGTACTTTTTTTTCTCCCTTAGGCTGGTAGATTCTCTAAGTTTGTTTGTTACTGTGGCATAAGTGACAATCAATGGAAGATAAAACAACATTTATTTGTATGTGCGTTTGTGTAGTTGCTGACAGCTGCTTCAGTGTTACAGGAGACACTTAACGTGCTCTGTCATAGGGCTTGAGCTTGGCATTAAAACAAAGTGACACTTAGAGAGGTCAGAGACTGTGCAGGAGGTAGAGAAAAAAGAGCAAAGAGAGCAGGTGTCAAAGTACTGAAACGAGGTGGAGAGTAAAATTGAAGACTGACCCTGTGGGTACAGAGTCAAGTCTTATTCACGAATTGCTCAGATAATTCTGAAAAATGTAACCATGCTGCATTCTTCAGGTGATACAGAAACTGAGTAGTTCAGTATTTTAACCACCTAAACCCTTATGTGTGTTCCACTCTCCCACCCTTCAGATTAATTACTGTCTTCAAAAGACTGACGTAACTGTAACTAAAACAGCTCTGGTTGTTTAGTGTGTTGTGTGTAAAATACCTGATTTTACTTGTTTGCATGTTTGTACTTTCAGGAGAAATTCTTGCCATTTCTGGATATGTTCCAGAAGGAAAGTGTGAGAGTGGAGGTTTGCAAGTGCATTATGGAATCTTTTATTAAGTAAGTGGAGAATATTGAGATTAAATGCACTCTAGAGGGTCTGGGAAATGTAGTGAAAGCTTGCTAGGGAAGATGGGTCAGGAGATAGCTTGTGAGGTGTTGCAGGCTATGAGGAAAAAAAAATGAAAATGTATCAATTTTGTCAAATTGAAAATTAATTATTTGTATTGATTCTGACTTGCTGTAGATTAACAGAATAGTTGTTTTCTAAGTTTTTTGGAATTTGTGTTGCCTTCGTTAGTTTATGAAATTTATTTCATATTTGAGCTGGTGCAAGAGCACGGAACTGTTACCTTTGCATAATGGAGGAAGAGAGACAGTCACTTGGTGCAAGCTCCATGATGTAGAAAAATGGGTATTTACGCAGTTGAAAATCAGTTTAGAAGATGAGGCTTCACCTTCAAATCGTTTAAAATCACACAATCCTTTTCTTTTCAGATAATTAATGGGTTTCTTGAAACATTTTTTCTTTTTCACCTTCCCCTGTACTCTGCTAAGCTCCACAAGCCTTCTCTTGCCTCGACTAACCAGTGCCGTCTCTCTTGGCTTTGCTCGTATGAGAAGTGCTGCATCCTCTTAATCATCTTAGTGGTGCTGCCCTGCACGTGTGCCTCTGGACCTAAACGTGACATTTATCCTTCCTGTCTGTCCATCAGTAGCTGAGAAACTACATTACTTCTTGGAAGGTCTAGGGTTGCTTTGCTTTGATGTTCTTAGATTTCCTCAGTGTTTCACATGTCTAGTCAGAGTCAGATTCTGTGGCTTGGCAGTAAAGCTCCGTGCATTAAGATAATATTTCTTGACTGGCATTCGTTGGAATTGTATGTCAATGAACCATGTGATCTGGTGGTAAAAAATGAATATAAAACTTCCGTAGCATCATCCAATGCTGGTGATGGAAATTCTGCATTGAATCGGTGTTACTGTATTCATTGTTTTTCACTTTGACAGAGCAGGATTTTTCATCACTGTTTCTAAAATATTTTATAGGCATCAGCAGGAAATCCTGTTATACTCAATGCCCTCCTGCACATCTGCAAGACGATGCATGATTCTGTGAAGTAAGATTAACTTTACTTATACTACTAACTATCATTCCACAAAATTTGGCTGCTGGGTATACGTTTTCACGTTTCTGAGGGTGGGTTTTTTCATGGTGGATTAAGACATGAATCCAATTAGTGGTGAGGGAAGAGTTGTGCAGTGAAGTGGCAGCACGTACCATTTGCTCTTTAATTACTGCTTTGTTTTGAGTACTGAAGCACAATTTTAAAAGGAAAGTAGCAACGGTTTGGTAGAGTTTTCTGGTGAAGAAGAGGCGTTAAAGAAGCCATTCTTGTAAAAGTATTTTTGAGAGTGAAACCAATGTAATCTTTGAGTTATAGTGAATAATGAACTATTTTTGAGATTGAAGTGAATATGTAGCTATTGAAGTTTGCCATACTCAGTTACATCTTTTTTTGGGCCACTTTTTTCAGCCGTTACGAAGGAGTGTGAAATCTTTAAAAGGACACCTGGCAAATCTTAGGAACTTGGGCAGGGGAAGCTAGAGCAGAGGAGAAGCTCTTGAACCATCTGTGTCTTTCCCCTAAACCCTCCTCTTCTCTTTTCCCCCTGACATGGAGTGCTGAGGTGGCGAAGGGTGCTGCCTGCCCCGCTGCACCCTCACTGTTAGAACAGCAATTGGCAATGGGGCAAGCTGTTACGGTTTGTAGGTGACTTGCAGAAATCACACAGAACTCTGTGTCTGAGTGAAAATAGAACCACAATGACAATGCTGTAAATGTTAGATCTTAAGAGCAATTATCTCCTTTATTTCTTCTGGTTTGGGTTGAGTAGAATTGTAAGGGCATCGCTTCTTTTGGCACTCTGAGGCCAGAGGCTTAGTATGGCAAACACTGTAAAGGAATTTATAACTTTCTCAGCCTTGATATGCTATGAATGCAAGATTTATTGCCAATAAAGAAGTCAGATTTGGCAAGTAATTCCAATTTATACCAGCTAGAGTGCTTTACTTTGGGTTAGGGCACCTTATTTGGCCGTATGTTGCAATAAAAGCCACTTCAGCCTTTAAATAGAGCAATACATTGAAGCTAAGCCAGCTCAGTTAAAAAAACTAAGCAGTTTATGGCAATCTCTGTGTGGTGTTTCCTCTGAGGTTTTGCCAAAACAACTCGACAGTTTTCTGGGATCCTTAAAGTCCCTTAAACCAGCAGTTCTTTTAGCCGAGATGGTGCGCGTCGTTAGCTTGGGTCTGTTGTGTCGTCTCTTATCGGCAAATCGCCACAAATTCTAACTATCCTAAAGTAACTCCCTCACCTATTTTAATATCCTGGTTCAGGAAACTCCCAATGCAGTGTGTGGGGCTTGCTGAGCCCCGTCACAGCTGTCGGGGGCTGAACAGCCTTTCGAGCGGCAGGGGTCTGATTCAGAATGGAGCTGGAAACCTGTAACTGACCCGGAGATCCCGTTACAAGTGTTCTGAGCCTTTCAGAGCCCGTCAGTTGACTCTTTTGATTGGCAATGCACTAATGAGCTAATCATGCTGAGATTTTCTTTCCTCCTTTACTGAATTTGTATAATAAAACTATTGTTCTCTTCCCATCTGGTGTCTGAGCTAGGAAATTGGTAACTGATACGCTAAAGGTCGAAGCTGAAGCCAGGATTAAATTGTATTAGGTAATTGTAACTTTTTGTCCATCCATTTTCAGTGAAACAGGTTTGACTTATTGGGTTTTCATGTGACATAAATTTGTTTCAAATCGGATTTGAATTCTTGCTATAGAGTAGGTATCTGTGATAATCTTGAAAAGAAACTCTTTTTTACTTACCAGTTTAGTTTGGTTCTTACTAAAACGTCACAAAGGCAGCATTGTAACAAGGTGATATTAATTACTTCTAAATTATGTGGCAGGATTGGCTAAAAAAACCAAATCACCCTCCCACCAAATCGAACAATAAACTAACGTTTCTAAAATAATTACATTAACTATTACACATACTAATTACATATACTATTTTAAGTGTGGTTTAAAAGCTTTTTCTTATCCCTAAACAGGATAACTCTCTTCTAAGCACAGATTTACGAGTTTCTTTTTGTTTTTATAATCAGTTCCCACTCAGAATCTCATGTCGTTACACAAGACTGAAGCCATTTCCTTTCTCTACAGTGAAGAAAGTTAGCTAGGATTCCTTTTTCCTTTTGCCAAAATCTGAGTTTCTGTAAAATCTAAAGAAACTCTTGAAAATGTTTTTCCTTTAAATTTGTAATTTAATTTGGTGTGTGCTTGACTTGGTGAGATTCATACTAAAATCAGTTTTATTGCCTTATAACTAAAATTACCAGCTTAGTGATCTTAGTGTACAATAAATATCTTATTTGGACATAACATGATATAACTTAGAGTGTATCATTTGAAATTTTGCAGGTAAGTAAGATCAGCAATATTCTAAAATTCACCATGTCCTGTTTCTCTTACAGTGCACTAACCCTTGAGGATGAGAAAAGAATGTTAGCAGCTTTGATAAATGGATTCATAAAAATGGTGAGTGACGCTTGTGTGCCACTGCTGGGAGGTGCCTTGTAGCTTGGATTTTCCTGAGATGCCCACGAGAAACGGATGCCTGAGCAGCAGAATCAGAGACTCTGCGTCTGACTCGCTTAGAACTGCTGAAAACCCCAACCAGTGTATTTTGGTGGAAAAAGCGTGCATGTGTTGAAAGAAACGTGCAGTGTTGAAGCTGACATGGTGCAATATGAGACTTTAAAGTGCACATTGTTTATTTAATCGTATTTTCTCCTAATTTGTTAAATCTCACTTAAAACATGGTAAGTATTTAAAAGTTAAGCAGCAATGCGAGTTTTGCCTTTTAGAGTATCAGAGAGGTCACCAATTTATGTGAATGAAATTCTATTACCCAGCTCTAAATGGAACCAGTAGCAGCTTTAAAAAACACAAAATAAGTATAACTTGTATTCTTATCTCTATTTATCTTATGATACAAATGATATTATTTGTAGATTCAAATCAGTAGTCGCACAAGAACTCCATTGTTTTGTCTTGAAATTAATTTTTAACCCTTCCCTCCTTCCTATCCCCATATCAATTTTTGTTCATGTCTGTTGTGTTTGAGGTGTCAGATTGGTGATGGGAGATGTTCTCAAGCTTTTTTAATTCTCTAACCAGGTACTCTCAATGCTTGGCTTTTCTTTCACGTACTCAGAGCTGACAGGCTTTGTCTCTACTTGTCCTCTTTTTTGCAGTTCTATGAATTTAACTCTAGATGGTTGATTTCTCTTCAGCTGTAATGATTTGCTATTTAATACATTTGTTTTATGAAGCTTTACATGCAGTATAATATTATATATTATCTGTAGGGAGGATTTCCCACAGGGAAGAATATTTGATGTGGCTTTATTGCCTAGCTTAGGGAATGTCTGGTTATAAATTTTAAACCAGCACACATTAAGATGTGAGGGCAAAAGCAGTTGTAACAGTCATCCTTACAGTCAAGCTTTTTTTGTGCAAATTTTTATATTTTTGAGAACTTTTCCTGAGATTAGGACTCAAGAATCAGCAGTTACACAAATAGAGGAAAGGCAAAGACAGTTGTCTAATGTAAAAAGCCATCCTTTGTGGTGCAGTTTCTTTGATCTTTCACTGTATGGATTAAATGTAATTTTTATTTTAATTCTGTAAAAGCTTCTTTTGCATATGGCTTGAGTAGTAATAAATAATGCAACTCTTACTTCTATTAGAAAAAACCATCCACTTGAATACATAAACGTAGACTGCTTGGAGACTGTTTCTCGTGCTAGGCTTTTAATTGACAGCTGAGACACTCCAGCTGACAGCACTTGGTTTTTGAAAATCTGAAGGGTTAGAAATAGGATGTTCTCACACAAAGGTGGTTTTTCTGACTTCTTTCCTGCCAGCGTGCAAGGTTGCAGGCTTTTGCCATACTATGTAATAAGCATGTATTCTTTAACCAAACTCGAAGCAAACCTGCTTTTCTTACTCATATATCCAGTTAGGAGAACACTGGTTTCTCTCAGAGGCCCTTTATCAATTAGAAATTACAGCAATCTTAATACAGATTCACTGATCTATTTCTGTTTTTCTGGTTTTTTTGTTGCTTTGTTTTACTTTTTAAGTGTGAACTATACCAAGCCTTTTCCCCTCTTCACTAGAGTTTTGCTAGTTCTGAAAATACTTCACAACTCTGGGATTTAAATTTTGTTTTCCTGATAAGTACTTGGTCTATAAACTAGAAGACAAAATCTCCCAGCAAAACTTTGAGTTTTCTCTAAAGGTGATTGGAAAGCAGACAGTTAAAAAGGACAGAGATTCTCTAGATGCTATTTTGTTGTTAGTGATGGGGAGTTTTCTAACAGTACATGAGGATCTTGACTTTTGATCAAATCTGTGGTTTATCTGTATGCAGGTTTATATTTCTTAAAGTTAACGACTTTAAGTAAAATTCAGGTTTGTGGTTTTTTTGGTCTTCTCTAGGTTTCGTTTGGCCGTGACTTTGAACAACAGCTGAGTTTCTATGTTGAAGCCAGGTCAATGTTTTGCAATCTGGAGCCTGTTCTAGTCCAGTTGATTCATGTAAGCTGCAGTTCATCTACATTATCTTAATAAGCGAGGATACATTAGCAGTTCTTCCATTCCCTGCTCAGATTATTGGTCTATGTCAAAATAAATCTGAAGTCTTTTTATCAGATGTTTTTAAAGTCGACTTTCATCTCAACTCTCATTTTATCACCTTGAACTCTCTGAAGTTCTTGACAGGCATGTGTGGTATCATTGCAACAAAGAAAACTGGCTATCTCGTGCAGTATTTCATTTCTAATAAATGGCATTTTTGTGCATTCAGAATTGGGGTTCTCTTCTATAATACTCCATGTAGGAGAGATGAGACTGTTGCTGGCTGCAGCTACAGGCAGAGTCCTGCTGTGATCAGGAAGGTTAATTTCTTTTTTGTATTGAGTCACTTGTCAGGTGAGCATTAGCTGCATCCAATTCCTTTGCAGCATTGAATCATCTCTTAAATCCTTCTATTATTTTGTTCTTGTAATAAGTATGTTGGCTAGAAATCATTATCTTTACACCAGGAAGAAGGTGATGACAGCACTGTAGCTGGGAAGCAAGGGATGATCTAAAGCCTTGAATAAATCAACAAGTCTGTCTTCACAAAACTTCAGTATCATATTTGCTTTAAAGAACGGTCGATAAAATTCTCCAAGTCCAAAAGTAAATAGCACAATGAGGGCACGCTCCATCAGGTGCCTTTTGACGGTTCCTGTTCTCTGAATGCAGGCAGTAAAACATGCACTTTGTTATTTGCTGCTGACCTGATCTGTGCGTTTTTCTTGGTGATTTGCTTTTGGTTTTTCTGATGTAGTCTGTGAACCAGCTAGCAATGGAAACAAGAAAGGTGATGAAAGGAAATCATTCCAGAAAGACTGCTGCGTTCGTCAGGGTAGGTGTGACTCTCATAAACTTGGAGCCTGTCGTCTTAGCAGATACTAATCTCTGCTGCCACCTAAGTTCATAATGTTTTCAAAAATGCTATGTTAGTGGGTTTTTTGTAGTCTAATTTTCTGTTGTTACTGTTGACCTTTACTCTCTAAAGCCAAATACTGCCATTTGCAGGAAAAAAAAAAAAAAGACTGAAAGCATCTAATAGCAGCTTTGTGTTTAAAAAAAGCAACATGATTGACTCCCTCTTCAAAAGAAGGTTCACTGGAGAGGTGTTGGTGTGAATTCTGGTGTGAATCTTTGAAATAAGATACTTAATTTCTATGTAACTCAGTCACAGAGAGAATGAGAGATGGGGGAAACTTATATTTGAACTTCTGCCTTATAATATCAGTGTTGATATGTTGAAAATGCTATTTGAATTTCACATAAAGTCTCCTTTTGACTTTAGTGCCTCTGAGTCTATATAGAGATGGTCAAATAAGCTAGTTAGGTTTGGTCTTGAGCTGCAAGCCAGTCATCCGAGGAGAAAGGAGCTCTTTGGCTGGAGTCATAGAATGAATTTTGACCTAATATACTCACAATTATAATTACTATAAATAATGAATATAATATTTGGTTTTTGATTGAAAGTCTTTTCCAAAACAGATTTAGAGATTTTGATTCCTAATTGTGTGTAAAATCAGTACTGATTGCTATAACTCTGAGTTAGGAATTTTCTTTGGTTTCTTTTTTTTTTTTATTTTTCTTGCTTTAGGCTTGCGTTGCCTTCTGCTTCATTACAATTCCATCTCTGAGCAGTATCTTCACACGTCTTAATCTGTATCTACACTCCGGACAGGTTGCTCTGGCAAATCAGTGCCTTTCACAAGGTAAGGTGCAGACATGCCTACTTAAAGATCCTCTTATTTCAACACTATTTCTAGATGCGAATAACATTTGATTGAAATGATAAGTCATGTATTTGTGATGTATTTAAAATACAGCCCTGTTTCCAGCACTGTTAGGGTGGAAACTTGTCATATTAAAGCAACTCTTTAGTTCTAACACTAATCCTGTGATCTAAATAAGCAAGATGAGTGACTCTAGTTGACATAGTCATGGCTATGAGGTAGGTTGTCCTAAATTACGTAAAAATTATGGAAAACGTGGAATGTTTTCCTCCTGCATATTTATGCAAGTGCTCTAATCACAAATGATTTACTTTAGTGTAACTGTGGAAAAAGAAACTAGTTCATCTGCATAGTAGTTCACAGGCTGACACAATCCTGCAGTGAGCTGGAAAAGAAGACGTAGGTCAATGACCAGAAGCTTGCTCTCAAACCACATGTGATAAAGGCTTAGCTAAGAAAATCTGCTGCTGTATCAGAGTGAAACAATGGAGTAATACCAGATAATACGGCAAATGAAACATATGTTTTCTAAGTAGTTGGAAATTATGACAGAGAGTGATTATGGGGAAAAAATTGGAGCTTTTCTGGCACCAGAATGAGCATAAAGTCCATATGACCATTTAATGTGATCTTGTTCCTGTTTGTATTACAAACGGAAGACAGCTACCTGTTCTGAAAGTCTTCTTATACTTTGAACTGTTTGCATCATCTCTCTTTTCCTTTTTAAAGTGATGTCATTCTGCTTCGTTTTGCAATTTTAATACTGACTTTAAATATCTGTTTTCCAGTGCCAAATGCTTTTCCTTTACATGTTTTCAATGGAGCTGTGACGGTAGTAAATTGGATTACTTTGCAACATCTTTTGTTGTGGCTGTTAGTTCTTTGTTTTAGCTCTGTGCTTCTTCCTGAGAGCTTGTTTTCCAAGCTCTGCATTTACCAGTAAGTTCCAGCTGCACAAACAAGCTGACTTAGGATGCTGATGAAGACTTTTTAGTAGAGGGTGACTGTTGTATTTCTTTGTTTTGAATCTGATGCTGCCCGTATAGCAAAGCAGAGGGATTTACGGTAAAGCTGGCTGTTGTGTCCAAGTGTGTTGTGCAAATAAAAGATCTGCAAAGTCTGTTGTTGTGCAATTAGCATTTTGCACTTTCTGTGTAAATGACCGTTTATTGAAAATGTACTCGTTTTTTTTTTCTTCCTGTGGTGTTTTGTTTAATTGACCAGTTTACCTTATCCTTTGTATCAATTTTTGTTACTGTTGCAGTGTTGCAGCTCATCACTTTTAGTAAGCAATTTCACAGCAGTTTCTCTGTAATATTTGGTCTTCAAGGACTATGCCCTGCCCACGTTGGGACCAATTCTGTGATTTAATAATCTTACTATTTATAGACTAGCTCTTCTCTGAACGGGACTCCTGGGCCCCAACAATTGCCCACATTTTTTGTGCGTGTCTTTATGGATGTGCCCAGCTGGCGTTTGATGCGTGAACATAGTGTGTGCACTCAGCAACAAATAGAATCCCCATTCTGAAATCTTTTTAAGTAGCGTGTATGTGTGAAGTATTATGAACTCAGTCTCCAAAATGTATATTTATTAATCACTATCTCCTGAATTATAGACCCACAAGTTAGAGAGGAGCATTTGGTCTGTCTCAGCTTTTGTTGAAGTGAAGCGTGTGCAAAACTCTGATGTTCAGTAATGCACTCTGTTTACCGAGGTTTTATTGTTCTACACTACTTTGCTTCCATAGAAAAGCTGTTTTGGGCATAATTTGTATTCAGAGACATGTCATTTGCATGGGTAATATGGCATGTTAACCACTTAAGCAACAGTGACATCAGTCTTCAGAGTTTTTTTGTGACTTGTCTTTTTGTTTTCTGATGTATTGTAGTTAGATAATGTGTCCTTGAAGGTTACTCTTAACACAGTTTAATCTGTATCTCAACTGAATGCATTTCGTGTGTATAATACGTACTAATTAATTCATAACAGCAAATTTAAATCCAGTCAGTTAACCGAGTTAACTGTTGTCACTTAGACACTGATCCACTAAAACTAGTGCAGCATGAAGCGAAATTTTAAGAGTGTGCAGTTAATGATAGCATTAGGCTAGGAAGTGAAATTGTGTCTTGTGCGTAACCTTTATTTCATGCTGATTGGAATTAGCTTAATCGATTTAAAATTGGGAAGAGAAATAAACCTGAAAGGTAATGTACCTGATCTGATAGCTCAGGCAGGAGTGGAGCATGCATGTGTGCATGCAGTTTCTCTTTAAAGATTCCAGCTGTTGTTTTCAGAGAGTTAAATTCTTGTTGGTTTTTTGGTTGGTTGGTTGGATTTTTTTTTTAAATTTTAAGTTCTTTCAAGGAGTCTAGCTATTTCTGTGAGTTGAGTTTTCCCTTAAACATATAACAAACTTGAATTTCACAGAATAGACCACTGTTAGTAATAGGAAGCTTTCTCTAAATTGCAGCATCTTTAACTTGAAAAAGGAGTAAAGTTACCTATTGGGGTAGATAACAGGAATGTAAAAGATCCCTTTTTTGTAAAGAGGGTTTGCAGTTCATAACGGTAAATAAATTTGGCCAGGCTGCAGATTGCACTGATAAACTACCAACAGCTGGAGAAGCCCCGGCTGATTGGGAGGAGTTTGGTGTTTGCCTCGCTCCCGATCTCACCAGGCAGCAGTTGCTGACCACCAGTCCTAGTGCCTCGCCCGTCCCCTTTCCTCTTCCAAATCCGATCCTTGCCTGCTGGGATTTGCTGGGCTCTGAATCACAGCAACTGGGTGGTGCTTGTTTAAACTCGCCCAAATCCTTCAGCCTTGGAAAACTGGTTGTGTAATTTTTCTTGGAAAAGATTTTCTTTAAGGCAATGAAATTGGGTGAGAAATATGGACGTAAAGGCTCATGAAAGGTCCACTGTTAATACACGGACAGATGTGTATCCAAGTATGCTGTCCAACATGTGTTAAACGTAACTGTTGTCTCCAGCTGCCAAAGAGGTGCTTTAAAAAAATTGAATCTGTAATTATGTTCAGAATGTTTTAGGTAATTTTTGTCCTGGATGCATGGTTTGCACCTCTGGAGAGCCCGTTAAGAGCCCACCTTAGAAAGGAAGATGCTAGACTTGACAGGGATGTGCTTTTCATTTATTTTTGTTGTAACTGATCCACAGAACACAGGATGCTGCCAGCATAGAGTAATAAATTCTCATCAGTCATGCTTTCAGTCATAGGGAGTGGTTGCACTAAATTGAGATTAAATGCATGCTCCGTTGTGTCACTCCTGGATTTTTGAGATATAGGTATTCTTTTAATTGCACATATTTCCTCCCTGTGGAAATGCTGCTTTTGCCTGTGAAGGAGCGGACAGCATGAGTTTTTAATTGTTGGTCACAGTGTTCAGCAGGTGAGTAGAGATGATGCAACTTTCTGGTAGCGTGTGTTGAGTGGCTTTTTCATTTGAAAGGCTGTGAAATGCCTGACTCGCTTCACAAGTCACACGCTGAGTGAATAAAGCTGATTCTTTGTGACTAATTTCACTGGAATACTGTCAAATATAAAACTTAATTAGAATGGGGAGTGTTTGTCCCCCAAATCACCTGATACAGATCTTTATTTTGTTTAGCAAATGCAGATTTTAATTCCAAAGCATACAGTGCTTAATGTACTTTTAGGTATTTGTTCTGTTCTTCAAATGTATCTGAAACACAGTTTCACTAGTAAATTGCAAAAGGAATTTCTTTTTCCGCTTCAGAAAATGTTACTTTTCCATTAATGTTCTCTCATTATGGCAGGCTCCAGCCACACTTTGGAGAAAGTATGGTATAGAATGTCTAAGAAGCAATTTTTAATCATAGTCTAATAATGGTTTAGTGCATTTCCTCAGTAACATAACAGTTTTTAGAATTCTTTCCTAATATCCTAAATTCTTTATAGATCTGCAGAATATAAATAGTGTATAAAAGAAAAAATTCAGTGAAATAAAAACCTAAAGAGGTTTTCTCAATTCCAGATTTTGGGACTTCTTGGCTCACACTTCTCTGGTGAGATCTCTCTGGTGAGATAGGCTGTCTCTTTTATTTTTTTTAATACTGTTCTCCTTGAAGGCAGGACAGTAGCTTTAGGAGAAACTGATGAGACAGTGTCTTTCTTGATAGTGCTGAATTTGAGCAAATTTATGACTTGTGCTGTTATCTGGGATTTCCACAGCTGGAAACTTCTCCCGTTCACTGAGCTTTTTCTTATTTCTCTCTTTATCCCAGCCAATAGCTTTTACATATGATTTAAGAGAGATGACATGTCTGTCAGCTTTCAGACTAGCATTTCGTATCTGTTGGTCTCTCTAGCCTACAACCTGTTTTTGGAAATGTCTGGTAGCATCTACTACTGGAACATAGAGGAAGCAAAAATGTGGAATAATGCTTCCTAGCTTTCAGCTGCAGGTGGTCTAAATAAATCCTTCAACAAAGGTTGCATATGGAGCATGGTATTTAATAAAACAGATGGACCAATCCTTAGGAATTTAACGGTTTTAATCAATTTTTACCTTTTGGCATCTGTAACTTCACATGACAGTGAGTTCCACAGTTACGTACTACTTGGAAATCTACAGCTTAGGGGTTTATTTCTGTACGGTTTTTAAATGTTAGCTGGGTGTTTCAGTGCGTGCAGCTGATCTGCTAGGGATATTATGAACAATTCAGTCATTCTTGATTCATTTTCTTCATGCTATCTATGAAATGATATTGATAAGTTCCTGAAGAATTTGTGTCAGTATGGGCTTTTCTAATAAGGAAACAGTTCCATGCCTTAGCACCTTTTCTGTTTGCTTTTTATCCTTTTGGAAGTGGGAAGATCAGGACTGTATTCCAGGTATAAATGCACAGCAGCTATATAAATGATACAGTGACACCTCAGTTTTCTTTTGCTGTCCTAATGATTCTTGTAATTGCCTTTTTGGCAGCTGTTTAGGATGTGGTTTTCAGGAAACCATCGATGATGACTCCAAAATCTTCCATGAGTATAAATAGCCTATTTAGAACTTATCTTTCTATAGTTATAGCAAGGGCTGTTTCTCTCCCTGCATGCTTTACTAATATTAGATTTCATCTGCTGCTTTATTGCTCACAATCATGAGATCCATCTGCAGTCACGTTCCAGACTAGTCTGCCAACATTGGCACCTCCCAGCTCATCGTAGGGACACGTCTCTCTGCAAAACCTTAAGGAGCGCTGTAATCATGTCACTCCACTGTGAAAGCTTTTTATTCCTGCTCCTTTCCCTTTCCACCCCATCCTTTTGTTAAGCTATGAATCCTCAGGAGGACTTTCCTCACATCTTTTGTCAAGATAGTTTTTTTTTTTTTTTTTAAGAGCCTTTTGTATGAGGGGCAGTGTTATTTTTTTCAAAAAAAATCTTACTATTTTATTGGCTGGGTCGCTTTTAAACAAACGTACTGGTTCTTTGGGAAACTCTGAGAGTTTTTTAAGACTTCTGAGGAATGATTTCTCTCTACTTGTTTGATTTTATTTTTTTTTCACCTCATAAACCCCAGAAGAAACTACAGTATATAACGATAGCATTTATTATTTCAAAGTTTCCAGTCTCACTAATGGAGCTCTCTTTAAAGACTGCTGATGATACTTTACCTCAAGAGTCTTTAGGGATTACATGGAATTTAGAGAGGGAGGCTGAAATCTGTCATTGATTGGTTTGGGTTTTTTGGGGGGACTGATGTGTGTTGCTTTTACTGATTACAGCTTAAGAGTAGAATATCTTGTATTCAGTGTTCTTGCTCGTACTGTATCATCTCCCTGTATGAATCTTCCTTTCCACTTACGCTTCTCTGAGCCTGTGGAAGCACTAAGGCCTTGCTAACAATCTGTAATTGAGCTATTCCTAAAACTAGCACTAGCAAGCTTCATCCACGTAATTACCTTTTTATCTTCATCTGATTTGTAGTGTGAATTAGTATGAAATTATATGAATTATTATAGTATGTTCCTGTTCATTTTCTTATATAATTTTTTATTTTATTTTATTTCATTTCTGTTGCTTCAAGTGATTCTTTGTAGTTCCTGGATTGGAAATGATGTGTAGAGGATTGTAAGACAGAGAATGTTCAATAGCTAAAGGGAAAACCACATTTCAACAATGTAGCAAAACTCTAACTGTGGCCTTACCAATGTCAGGAGGAGTTCCAAATGTTTGTGATGCTTGGTCATTAAAATAGTAATGCCTTGATTTATTTAGCAGGGGAAAAAAACAGGCAGTAAAACCTACCATGTTTATTTCCTATTAATTTTTTGCACCCAAGTACAAGAGTTCATTAAATTTCCAATATCTGTTGGATGTGGAAGCAAAATCTTTGGAGTATTAAAATATACTTGACAATGATGTAGGGCACAAGGGTGATGTGGAATGCAGAAGACTCTGTGGTCCCTGGTTTTGTCCTTTAGGTGGACTTAGCCTTGTGTAATTACATCTGTGACTAAAAATACTTTGTGTAGATATGTCAAGCTTACTCCCTTTTGCTTTTTGAAGGTGGACTTAAGGAGCTTAATTATTTCCCCATCTATAACGGCTTTACTCCTCCTTGTTCTTCAAATCTTTAACTGGTACCGTTTAATTGACTATCACAGATGCAACAAATACAATGTAAGTTAAATTTTTACATGCAGAGACATTGATACATAGAAATATATGGAGGTAAATATATTTATGCGTATGTATAATTAGATGCGTGTGTGTACATACCGTGAGCAAAACATTCAACACCAGTTCCACTTGCTTTTTCTGTAGGAGAGTATTACTGCGAGTGCTGACTTGCATACCCAAGACTGTTAGTTTTTGTAGCCTGAAGGTCAGCATGTATGCTCGGGGGGAGGATTTGTAGGATTATGGTCAACCAAAATGAAGGAGCTGCTGTGAAAGGATAAATTTAGCGAAGCATGAAGTATGTCATGTTCGGAGCACTGCACAAGATATTAACAGCCGTCTGGGAAGACTTTATCATGATGATTTGTTAATGCACCGGCTGCTCTCCCCTTATCCAACTTCCCAGTGGCTCACTTCAGAAGCAGTGTTGTACTTCAGGCAGATAAGAAAACAGCATTCTTCACCAGAAGAAGCCTTATGTAGTTAGTTAGTTAGTTTTAATCAAGAGCTAAGCACCGCTGTGGTTTTCAGTGATTTTTATGTGGTCTCTTAAACCTTTTGGAAGCCAGGAAAAGCAGATGTGTTGTTTTCTCTGTAGTTATAGCTTTATAAATTGACTTTCAAAAGATACAGAGAAAGCACCATTGCATAACCTCATAATTAGTGTAATTTAGAATTAAATACTGATCCTTTCCTTTCATACTTATTAATAGGACATCTGTGACAGCTTATTAGTGAACTTTTGCTCCAAACTTGGATTACATGGTGCATGCTCTCACACCTCGCTACAAGTGAGTAGGCTGGTGGAGTCTGGAGGACAGTTTTCTGCAAAATCTATGATAAAACCTTTGCATTAATGTGAATTTGTTTTTGCTTCTTAGAGAGCTCGTGTATTTTGGATGAATGACCTTTTAGCGTTGCAGCGTAAGACCATTTTGTGGTTAGCACAGACTGGCTGAACTGGTGTCGAAACGAACATATTGCCCTTTGCCAGTACTTTGGGTGTACCAAAGCAAAATATCCGTCTCTTTACTAGAAAATGCAACAAACTGCTGCTATGCTCTCTTGCTTTTTTGGCTTGTCTTGCTGAGGTGCATGGGGGCAGGAGGAACAAAGTAAGGACGAAGATCTAAAAATGTAGGCGCAAGAGCCCCACGGTCCCCCCATCATGCAGAGACAGCGGCAGGACATGGGGGGTCACGGGGTGGCCGCGGCAGTGGCGAGGGGACAGCACCGTGGGGACACGGCCGGACACAGCAGCCGCATGTTGGCCCTGGTTGGGGCAGAGCAAGATGGAAGCGCAGAGGAGGTTGTTGCAGCAAGGGCAAGGCGAGCCCTCGGCCGTGTGGCCGCATCTCTTCTGGTTCCCGGCAGCCAAGGAGCGGGCGTGCGGCTCTGAGGGAGCGGCTCTGGTGAAGGTCTCACCTGGCTCGGCCGGGTGAGCAGGCACCGGCGGCAGGAGGTCAAGAGGAGGAAATCAAATCAAATTGCAGTTCCTCCTAGTGAAGATACGAGGTGTGAGGCTTGTGCTATGGCAGAAGTTTAGAGGAGAACGTGTAGGGCTGTGATTGCTGGGAGAGCAGGCGGTAAATTCAGGTGAGGTACTTTGCAGCTCTTCTCTTTCATTCTGAAGATTGATTGCTGCACAGATCATTCCTGTCCTGTTAGGAAATACCTTCCTAAGGCAGACTATTCTCTGCACAGACATAGGTACTCTGGTATGCAAACTATTTTCTGAGTTGCATTTTTTTCATTCGTCTGGTCACGTTTTTATTATATGGTGATAAGCGGCACGCACTGCTCTTTTTTCTTGAGACAACTGTCGAAGTGACAGGAATTCATTTACTTGTGCTAGAATGAGCATCTGCTGCTGCTTTCCTCCCTCTGCTAATGCTCCTAGAAAGATTACTTACCTTCCTTTGAGTTGGCTGTGCAAACTTACATGTTTGAAATGAGAATAAATGTGCAGAATTAGAAGAATGACAATGTTTGACTGAAGGGGTCTGCATTCTAAGCACTGAAAAGTTCAAAAGCGTTAGGGCACTTGTGTGCTGAAAAGAAATACGAGTCAGAAGAATTACGGTTTTTCCAATGCACGTGTTTCCCTGGAATTCCTTGTAAGCTTAAATTAGATATCAGTTCGTACTATATTTAGCAAGTTTGCTTGGAGTCTCAGATGAGTCTCAGTGCTCAGATGAGTTTTTCCAGAGCAAGCTGCACTCCTGGAAATGCCCAAGCGTGCCTGCCAGTGGTATCTCCATCCTTGCCCTGCAGCACCTCTTGGCTTTTACCAAAAATTCTCTTTTTTCTCTTTACTCAAATTTGATTTCATGACCTTAGTCTCTGTTCCCGTAAAATAAGGCTACAGTATTAAGGATGCTTTGAAGTATTTGGCTAAACTATTCGAATACGATTTGGATACTTCAATATTTTGAAACGTAGAATGTGCAGAATAATGCCGCTGTCAGAATTTTTTTTGTGAACTCTTAGCATATGTAAGAGGTCTTCTAGAGTAAGAAGAAAAATATTGTTGTTTTTAACTTGTGAATATTAACTTAATAAATTGATGAACAGATGTTCTAGCATTGTTTTTTGGGAATAGGATTAGAGACACAATAAAGAGTTATGAAAAAACTCTTAACAGCTGTTTTGCCAAGGCCATAATGCTGGATAGTTTCTGTAATTCCTCTGTTGTCATACTTGGAAAAAATAATTTTATCTAGATAACCAGCAATACCTCAGATTCTGGTGCTATATTATTTTAATCACTGTAAATACTTAGAGAAGTTAAATTTTCTGTACTTCCTCATAACTAGCAGCCTTTTGTGAGTAGATCCAGGAAGAAGACAGCATGTTCTTTCTTCCCCCTTTGCATTCCTCATCTCACATATGTATTCCTTTAGATAAGTCAATTTTGAATCATGTGCTAATTTATTTTTATTATTATATATGCAATATATTTGAAACGGTGTTAACCAAAGAGTTACAATTTCAGATTTCTTGAGTGATGTGGAAACTCCTTTTGAAAAAGCAGCATCACTTCAGTTACAGCAGGTTTTGACTGCTGAGTCTTGAGTTTCTTTGGGGTTAAAGCACACCTTCATTTTCTGTAGTCTGCTTGAAACAAACTCGAAGCAATCAGTGGATCACAGGCGTGACTGCTGTCGCAGTTGGAGTGATAATACAGCAACTATATTTTTATTTTGTAGCCGATGCTTTTTTCAAAGCCGCAGTGAGCCTTGTTCCTGAAGTGCCAAAAATGATCAGTGTAGATGGAAAGATGCGACCTTCTGACGCCTTCCTCCTGGAATTCCTTTGTAATTTTTTTTCCACGTTACTGGTTGTTCCGGTAAGTTGTGTGTGTATGGATAGCACGTGGGCTGGTAAGACTATTTTGACTTTCCTCTTTCAAAATGGAGAGAAGACTGGCTTTTTGGGAGTGGGAGCTATAGTGGTTAGTTTTCCACAAATAAGCTGAGCTCCTTTTCTTGTTGGCTGCAAAATTACTCACCTCAATGCCAAATGGAGAGGCAGAACTGTTCTTTGGAGATGGATAATACAGCATTTCTCAGTAGCACCTTGCACTTGACTGGATTTGGGATAGAGTGAAATCTCATCATGATTTAATTGTGTAAACATCATTTACTGTTTTAACAGATCCGTGCAGAAAAGTGGTACTTTAGCTGAGCACTCATAAAATCTTAATACTGGAGGAGGGGAAGAATACAGAGCTCTAGTTTTAGTGACTTTGTTACAAGTTGCCTCATTTTTCGTGTGAAAACAGTAATTATGTGTCGTGACATCACCTTCCTCTTCGGATGAATATTTCACAAAATATTGCCGTTCTGTCCTCTTCCAATTTTTAACCAGTTTTCAAGTTTAGAGAGAGTAATTTTCGTTCCCATATTTTCCAGCTATAGCTGAAAGGTGAGGAAGCATTGTAAACTAAGATGGAAGACCTGAGATAAAACTGACGTAGCCAAGGTATTTTGTTGACCTTGGAGAAGAAAGGCAGCCTCTGACTCTTGAGATTTCACTACAGTGGAAACCTAACACTTGAGGATTTTACCTCCCTCTGTTAACAGCTCTGGCTGTCTCCAAAAGATTCTTCTCTTCCAGCAAGGGCTGGCTTAGTACCCTGCCATGTTTGGATTTGGTTTGGTTTTTACTTTACAGGATAGACGATCAGAGGGAAATATCCCCAGTGGACTTTGATTTGTCCTGCATCTGTTGGTATCATTGCACCAACTACCAGCTTGAAAAAGCAGGGTGCGATATTAAAACTGCTTGCAAAACCTCATAGCTTATGTAAAGCAGGTGTCCTTATGTTCCTTTCGTATTAAAAGATTGCTGATTGTCTGTAATGCTGACTTCCCAGCACAGGTGTTCTTCTGAAAGTCATACGAGTAATATACTTGTTTCTAGAGCTTACTGATATTATTATAATAAAAAAAAAGTCTATATGGTGTGTTGGATTTTAGAGATGTAGCTGTTAAGAAGCTGACAATTAATTTTGTACTACTCCCCTGTGACTAGAAATCAAAGTTTGTCTGTGAAGGCAGTTTATGATTATGGGTCAAATGGGCATTTTAGAAGAAAACTATAACAAATTCCTAAAAGGATTTGCAGGAAGCACACTTAAGAAAAGTAGTTGTCAGCTTTAATTATATTGTAAATTTTGCTTTTATACAGCTAATAAACTGTGACTCTAAATCCCTGAATGACTGCAAATAATCCCATTTTTGTTTTGGGGTTGTTGTGTTGTTGGTTTCCACCTACCTTCTTTCTTTTCTGTAGGACCATCCAGAGCAAGGAGTGTTGTTTCTTGTGCGAGGATTACTAAATGTGATCCAGGATTATACTTGGGAGGATAACAGCGATGACAAAGTCAGGATTTATACTAATGTTTTGCATCTGCTGTCTGCAATGACTCAAGAAGCATATATCTACCATGTAGACAAAGGTAATACAGAAGGGTGGCTCTGCATTCTCGCATTCCGTCCTGCATTTTGCAGTATCGTGTTGTTCGCCGTAGCTAGGTAAAGAAGATCAGTGGTAGCTACTCTTACCGAATGCATGATCCCCCTGTGCTGGGCTGGATACTGTAACTTAAAATAATGACAGGAGGTGGCTCCCAGACAGATGTGCTGTCTGTTCTTTAAAGTGAATCGGTGGAAAAAACTTACTTTGTTCTAGGTGGTATTGGTGCAAATATTTAGAATTGTGAACTTTTCAAGGAAATATTAGAACGTTGTATGTATGGAGGGTTTTCTTTTTGTCTGAAGTATCAACTGGATTTATACTCGTCGTTCGTGTTTCATTCATATTTATTAACAACTCAGAATGCAATACCTGGTCTTCTTTATTTAAATGATGTATTTGCTGCTTTGAAGGCAAGAAATTCTGGTGCTAATGTACAAAAATCTTCAGAGTAGCAAAAAACAAATTTTGCATTTTATAGAATGGTTGTAGCCTTTTTGTAATAATATTTTGATATGCTCTGGAATTTGAGTGTTTGCCTTCTGATCATAGAGAGGTTACTAAATTAAGGTAGAGTATTTATTCAGTCTTTTGGAGCATACTGACAAGATTAGTTAGTCTGAGTGGCCAGGCTGGTTTGGCTTTTCATTTGAGTTGCACAGGGCTTTCACAGAGAGGCAGGCTGGAATATAGCCTGTGGTTCTTCTGGGGAATAGTCTGTCGGAGTTAGCAACCATGACAAAATATCTCTTGCAGTTTAGCAGCACAGAAAATAGTTGCCAGTTTGACAACTACTCTGTAATAAATCTGCTGTTCACTTCTGTAAGAAAACATGGTTTAGCTGCTTTTTCTTTCAAGCCATTTTTATATGACCAAAATAGCTGGTCAATCCCAAGATGAGAAATCTAAATTAATTAGATTTCAGTGGAGAGAAACATGGAAATGTAGTTTAGTAATTTTTCCTCTGTAATTGGATGATATTTGTTGGGGTTTTTTCTGTGTGGACCTGGTACCTTAGCTTCTTAAAATGAAGTTTACTTACATACTCTCTGATTTACCCAGAATACACTTAAACTTAAAAATTTCTTGTAACTTTGTAGTAAAACATTATAAATAAATGAGGCCAAAACACATGTTTAAAATCACAGTTATATTAGCTCTAAAAAATTCAAGGGTAAATTGTGTGGCCCAGTCCTGCTGCCATTGAAGATGATGGCCATACCCTGTTAAACTGAGGGGAGCAGGGAGTCTGTCTCTGTGGAAAAAGTGAAAATTGTCACTATACGTTGCTTTGCGTTTAAGTCTGGCACACATTTGTGAGCCTAGCTGCATCCAGGAATACAGGACTGGCTTTAAGCTAGACCATTCTTTTCAGCATTTTGTTCTTAAAATCAAGAGGACTTAGTAGGCAACCGAGTGGTAGGTGCTTAAACAAGATTGTTCTGTTTGTGTTTCACGAAGGAGGGGCATTTTATAACACCTAAATCTGAGCTTCTGTAAATAGCTGGTGTTCTCTGTAGCAAACAGATGCATCGCTCTTTAGCCAGACCTAAGCTTGAATTCATCTCTGCAGTTGATTCCAATGATACCCTCTATGGTGGAGACTCCAAGTTCCTGGCCGAAATTAATAAACTGTGTGAAACAGTGATAGCACAGATCCTGGATCATCTGAAAACCCTTGGAAAAGAGGAGGTATGTTCTTACTCAGATTTTTTCAAGCAGGTATTGGAAGGAGATGTTTAACAGTGTGTGGGACTGTGAATTGTGTATTAAGGATTTTTTTTTTTTTTTTTGCATCTGACTCCTATATCAAGTACGTGGCTGGGATTTTTTTGTCAGGCTTGAAATCCGTGGTTTCTGAAATTTTTCTCCCCCCTCTCCGCCCCCACTTTCAAGCTTAATACTTGGAGTAATGAGATCCTGTCTTATTTCATCAAAGCAGTTGTTGCACAGAAAACTGGATTTAAAGCTAAGCAGCATGGATACAGGTCCTTGCCCTGCCTTTGCCTCGATGGCCTTGGATTTACTCCTCTGTCCATCCTTATCTACAAAGGGGGAGCATTTATTTTGCTTTGTTGAGTAGAAGTCCTTGAGAGATTTAGATAAAAATTGTTTTGTAAGAATGAATAGTTTTCTGAGGAAGCTGTTGCTGCTGAAGAAATAGAAGCAAGAATATTGTCAGAGACCTCCATTTGTGCTAAAGTAGAACGGATCGTAAAATCACTGTGCTATTTGGATTGCTTCGGTCTTGGTGACCTTTTGTTATTCCTTATCTTGGCTGCTCATTTAAATGAACAAGCCTCTGATGATTCTGTGTTTTTATTAGTTCATTTCCTTTAAAAGCTATAAGGGAAAATACATTTTTTTCTCACAATAAAATGCTCTCACCAAAATGACAGTTTGGTAGAAAACAGCGCATCTTATGTTAACAAAGTGTGAACTTTTTGCACTATTAGAAAATGCTTCATTAAATGTGGCCGTGTGGGAGTGGAAATTTTTGGTTCTGGACAGTTCTGTATTCTGGTCACGTGAGCATGTGTCAGTGAAACCTCTCTGCCTTTTTGTGAGTGGGAGACTAATCTTATCCTCTAGGTTTCTTAGGAATGCAAAGACCTTGCCTCTTGCTGCTCAGCGATAACTATCCAGATGGAGTGTGTTTTACTCAAACGTGACTTTTGATTTTGTTTGAATACTGAACTAGAAGCAGAGTTGGACATAGCTCTCTGCATGTGGGTATGTTTTAAATTCAGAAGAAGCTGCTCATCCTGAAGAAATTTGTGTCCTTGGCTGAGATTTTCTAAAGGTGGTTAAACACTGTGTTCCTCTTTGGGAGAAGGGAGGCAAGAGAATTTACCTACTGCAGTTTCCAGGAGAGTTAAAGCCGTGCTGAGCTCTGTGCTGCCACAGGCAGACTGGTCACATTTTCAGGCTGCCTAAGGGAGCAGCAGCAGGCTGGATGCACCTTCAGAGGAGCAACGTACCTGAATGCAAAAATGCTTTTCTAACAGAAGGCTCGAGGTATCCTTATGACATAGATGTCTGGCAAAAGTCACTGAAAGATAGGAATGAATATTTGAATTGCTAGCCAGGATTTTGTGAAATACGTTACATGGTCCATTGTGTGAAAGACCCTATTTTTTTGGTTATGCTCTATGAAATTTGGGCATTGCTCTGTACTTTGGCGGAGGGGCTAGGACACAAGGGGGTCACATTCTGGGATGACGTAGTTTGTTCTTTATTCCAAAGATAGTGGAAATGCACTGCCTGGAAGGCTGGCAGTTCTTTTTGGTGTGGGAATTGCTGGTCCCATGACGTGTGTGGCTGCCAAATAGCTGTGCTGCTGCTTTCTCCTTGCTGCCTGCGGATACAGCCTGTGGGATGAGGTGCCACCCACAACTCCCTCTCGGTTTCGGCAGCAGCCTGGGCACCGGGGATCGCTCCCTCGGGTCGGAGGTCGGTGCCATGTTACACACACATTCACTGTGTCTGACTCTTCTCATTGGACTTCAGATGTGGTGGGATTTCCTGCATACCTGCACCTGCCTCTGCTTCACTTGGCCTTGTGTAACTGGTGACTAGGTGCCAAAATCCTGCCTTATTCTTGCCACAATACAATGAGAGTTGGTGTCTTGCCTTTCTGGCTTTTTTCTGTTTCTAGATCCTTTTTGAAGTACATATGTTTCAAATCAGTCAAAACATAATCCTTACTTTAAAGAATGGATTTTATATTTGCATTGATATTGCCTAGAAAACCTCACTAGTTGATATTCAGACTGGAGTACTGCTGCTTTTGCATTTTGCCTAATAATTTAACTGTCCCACTTCTGATGAAACCTCCAAGCAATTCCCAGAAACCTCTTTGAAGCTTGCATTCAGCAGAAGAGACACAGGCAGTAGATGATAAACAGGAAAATAACCATGGGTAATACAGTTTATTTCGTTAATCCAGGATACATGGTGATGTGGCAAGATGCCTCATGAATGGACTAGCTGGCTGTACCCTCTCTACTTTTTTCTGTGAGGCATGTTAGCCCTAAAAGAGAAATACTACAGTAATATTTAAGCATAAGTACTTTATTTTTATTGTCTTTTTGAGATGTATTTCTGTTCTTTGTTTTACTGCTACTGGATTAGACTAATCAAATGTTATTTCTCTGTCTGGTAGGGGGTGCAGTTCAACGCTCCTGAGTGATGGTTGTAGTTTTAGTCTGTAAATAAGTTTAGGAACTACCGGGATGGAAATTGCTAATGTAGATAACTGTTCCAGGAGGAGCTGTTTCTTGGTAGTTTCATGTAATGAATTTAGTGCTTAGGGAGCTTCTCCTGGGGCCTTGAGCAGCTCTGCTCACCGCCTCTGTGTGTGTGTGTGTGTGTGTGTGTGTGCGCACGGTTTCTGATGCGTCAGATTTTTTCTGCTGCTAAAGATCTCCTGTGTGCGTCACATATAGTAGCAGTCTGATGCTTTTAGTTTGGGGCGTGCTGTGTCCTCTTTCCTGCTTAGCCAGTTCTTTAACGGCATGGCTTTCTCCTTTTCCATATTTATCTGGAGGACTGATAGCTCAGTGTGTGTCGTTTCTTTGATTAATAGCATCTGACCCCTCTTCTGCTGGCAGTGAGAAGGGAAATTAATTTACTTTCGGTCCCTGAGGGACAGGGCAGAAGCTTCGTGGCTGCACTGGTACCATGTCAGGAGAACCCGAGTCAGAGATCACTGCACTCTTCTTACCCCAATTTCCGCCTTATTTTTTCCTATATGAACAGTAGATATTGGCTACCCTAGCATGTATTGAACTGAGAGAGCTGAAGTCCTAAGTCCATTAATTGCCATGCTCAGCTGACAGTTTTAACTAGTACTCTACTGCTGAGTTCCTGTGGCAGATGGAGCCATGCTTTCAGCAGTGGCCTTTCCTGAGCACGAGCCAAAGGACAGCTGCAGCAAAGCAGTATAAAAAAGTACCGCGTCTCAGATGCATCCAATAATAATTCATCCTTTTAGCCTTTTAAAACTTACTACACAGAAATAGTTCTAGGAGAGAACTAATCTGCACCAGCATTTGCATTACTTCCGTTTTCCACTCCCTCCAAATCAGGGTGGTAACACCTTGTCAGCTCAGGGCATGTCGGTGTGCCCCAGAGATCTTCCCCGGAGGCCGAAGGGCACGCTGCTCCTCCGTGGGCATTGCCGTGAAGTGGGATCCTCCTCAGCGCCTTCTGGGAAAGTAGATGCAAATATGATATGAATATGTTGGTATCAGCAAAGTTTCAGTGAAAGAATAGCAGGAGGGAAAAGCATGTTTGGTTGAAAAAATAAAAGAATGGACTATTGGTAAAAGCCTGTAGTTGCATTAATCTAGATTGACAGTATTGGTCTCTGAGAAAATACAGATAGCTGTGGTGATTTAAGGGGAAGGGTGGCTGGTGGGAGGGTGATTTCTATGCAATCATAGAGAGTCTTGAGTTAAAAATGTGTCAAGAACTACAAACTGTGCCATGACAAAGTGGTACGAGAGGGAGGACTCCTGCCTAAGTATTTAATTACGTTGATTCATGACTATGGCTACTTGTTGATTTTGAATGGAATGTGAAAACTATTCCTGTATTCTTGTGTCTGTAATTATTGCTGTGTATTATAAAATGAATATAGCCTGGTGAAGTTATGCTGGATATTTTGGGATGATTATGTGGTAATACAGGATTTTTATTTTTATTTTTTTATTATAGACCCTAAAGCGACAGAGCCAGTTGGCACTCTATTTGTTTAATACTATTCTAGCTCATGGGGATCTACGAAACAACAAACTAAACCAGCTTTCAGTCAACCTCTGGAATCTCGCTCAGAAACATGGCTTTGCTGACACCAAGACTATGGTAAGGAAAAGAGATAGTGCAGAGAAGTTTTAGTTCTTAAGATCTTTTTTAGCTCTTCATTTGGGAAAAGGTAACATTTTCTTGATCTGAATAAAGCTAATTGCTTTACAAGTTGCTCTTTTGAAAAATATGAATGAGTTTAAAAAACCCTACAACCTTGTTTTTTAAATGTTTCTTAATGAATAAGCAGCTTATTTCAAGTGCTCTGTATCTTTCTAGCACTTTTAAATGTATTTCACACATTAGGAAACCTGAAAATGTTGAGTGGAATAACTTATTTTCAGTACAGAAAACTATCTTTAAGAGAAATACAGCATTTTAATCTGTTGGAACTGCATGGTGTAAGCTTGGAAAGTGAGTCTTCTAGAGCCTTTATGAAAGATACCCTGTAACAAACTCTGCAGTAAGAAATGCAAGTGCGTACAGCCAGTGAAATGTGGGGAGAATTACAAGAGTGTCTGTTAGAACGCTGTCATAGAGATTAAATGATGGCCTGTGAAATGAGAAAACACAAACACTCAAAATCCCCAAAGGTCTTTCTTTTCATACCCAGGTGAAAATGCTGGAGTACATCAAGAGGCGAAGCAAACAGCCTGAAATGAGTCATTTCACAGACTTGGCCCTTCGGCTTCCTCTGCAGTCCAGGACCTGACGAGCGCCTGTTTCCAAGGAGTCATCTGTACAAGAGAGGGTGTAACCAAGGCCAAAATCACTGTCTAGATTTTGACTGGAGGAGTTCAGTGTATTTTTTTTTACTTAGTGTGACATATTTACTTGGACCCAGGAAAAGGTAAAACTGTTCTGAGTGCAATAATTTAACCTGAATTTCTGTTTCCAGTTTTACCACTATATTCATATTTTAAATGCTGATTTAGGTTCAGTAAAGGGTATTTTGAACCTCTGTGGTTGCAAAAGCCTTTCTAAATCCGATTTATTGTCATTTTAGCAACAGAGGAAGAAGATAATCTGCACAGATCAATTCGCAGCCTCTGAACTTCATCCCACTTGCAGAATAGTCTTCCTCCTGTGTAGAAAGCAGCATTTCTATGTCATAATCCTACTAAGTTGTCTTTCTGCTGTAGGATGCTGCCAACATTTGTTTGGGCAGTGTTGGCAGAAGAGGAAAATGGCCGAGGTGTTGCCCTACTAATTTCTACAATACATTTTCACAGACTTGTTTATGCTTTCATTTTAGTTTAATGGTGTTTTGTAAAATGGAAGGAACTTCAAGTGTTGTCTGCAAAAAAATGGAAAATGGAAATGGTATGCAAAGTACTCTATATTTGCAAAGTACATTGTCACTGAATAAAACAATTTGCAGTTCATCTGTTTGTTCTGGGGGAGTTTGTGCAAACAAATTTATCACCTTACCCTTGGGGAATTTAGTGATGTGTACTGCAGTGCTGCTACACTGGATAAAATTTCACTTTAACCACTCCTGTGCCATGGGAAGGAGCCATGCTGAGACCTTGCATCTATTCCTGCTTTCGCTTAGTGGTAAGTATTTTAGTGAGCTGAGTCTTTGTATGGATATTAAGATGGTTTTGCACAAAAATGTTTTATTTTGTTAAGGTTAAACAAGTAATCAGTTTTGCTCATTAAGGAGTTAGCAAGCTGGTAATAAATACCCAATTACTAAACCGTTCTTGTTGCATGTTCTTCATCTCCTCAGTGGTTACTGAAGCAGGGTACATCTAAAATATGTATTTTGTGTTAAGGTTGTAAAGAACTAAACCAGGACCTTTTGGTCCTGGTACAGACTGCACACATAAGCTCCGTAAAACTGCAGGTAATCATGAAGTGCTATTAACTCAATACAGAACCTTTCCAACCTTTAGTACATAGCTATTTTAATTATACTTTCCTTAAATGATTCCATGTGAAGCACACGTAAGGTAATGAAATTATAGTACTACATATGTTATGTCCCACTTTAATTTAGCTTTCCTTCTTGCTGCAGCTGCAATGAATAACTCTCAACAGCATGTAGATGATTCTTCCTCTTGGCCTGGAAACATAAACCATGAACTGGGTAAGTGGGATTAAACTCTGAGCTCTCTAAACCACCAAGTGGGTCACACTAAGCAGCTGTGGTACAGCAGAAATTGCCCTCGGGAGGCAAATGTACTGCTCTAAACCCAATGTGGAGTTGTTCCAGGCCCTGTAAAATGGAAACTTACAGGAGGCTTACAAGTGGTCCAGTCATTTCTCTTCCCCATGCAGGCACCCGTTTTTGCCTGTTGTCTTTTGAGCACAGTGTAACTTTGGTTTCTTTATTGATGCAAGACCACCATGACAAATGTTTTCAAATGCTTTACTACTGTTTTTATTAGTGCAGAAATAGCTCAACAACAGGCAAAAAGCTCTGGTTAGCTATCAAGAGCAAACTCTATAAACATTTAGCTTAGAAGCTAACACAGCCACTCTAATAAACGGCTGTTGGCTTACTTCCTTCTTAGAGCAAAACTAGTTAGAGCACTCTACTTATTATAGACCTTTTCTTTCTTCTGTATATAGCAAATATACAGGCCAGACCAAGTTTGTCTGCTTGAAAAGAGACGTTTCCCCAGGTGTGTGTCTTGTTTTTCAAACTACAACATTTTCACGTGCACAGTATTATCCAGAGCAAGGTGCCTGGCCATCCACAAAGCTACAGATGAGCAACATATGCAATTTTAGGTGAGAAAAAAAGAGTCCTTATGCAAAGGCAAGGCCAGGACTAACACGACCTGCAGCATATTCATTGGTGGCAGTTTAAGACCAGTTACTACCCATCCAAGACTGGTTCTGCAGCAGAAAGCTGTGCATGCTGTCCCTCTCCTCCTAAATGAAGTCATCAGTTGACATTTTCCTACATATTCCTGTATTTTAACTCGGTATTTTTGTCAGGCAAGTAGCTGAGGGTATGAATTCAGCATCTGTCTTAAATCAGAAAGCAGAACCTCCACTACCTGAATTTAAGTAAAGCAACAGCTGGAGCCTTGAAGCACTAGCTGAAGCCAGTTGCTGAGCTTTGAGAGCACTGGTGCAAAACAGACTCACGCTGAGGTAGAGCTCATTTTAAATGACGCTTTCAAAGAGACAGTTTCATCATAGACAAGTTCAGACCCTGCAAGAGGTGGTTCAGCATCTCCTTCCTTCTCAGGTATGGGAATTGATTCATGGCAACCCCTTAAGCTGGAGCCTCTGCATTAGATTTCACTTCCCCTCAGGAGTTGCTCAAAATGCACTGGAACCAACTGTGGTTGTGTTAAGTGTATTTTCTGCTGAAAGCAGTTGCTTTCAGGTAGAGTGGCCCACTGGAGAACACTATTGTGGCAAGTGCGGTTGTCTTCAAAGAGCAAGAAATTTAGTAGTTCAGTTGGTGCGATCTTACAAAAAAAGGATCGGTAATTCAGCAGAAAACCAGTGAGCTGGGTAAGCAGAGATAGTAACCTACGTCTGGGGGCTGGCCTTCCTCTGCAAGTTGGCCACTGTTACACTGCAGCAGGCATGGACAAAAGAGATGGTCACCTTGTTCTGTTTAAAAAACAGCTACACTAAACAACACTGTCTCCCATAATAAAATATGTGATGGTTTTCCACTATCTTCCTGTAGCTTCCAGCAAGACACTGATAGACTGCTTTGGACCCTGGGATTCTGCACACGATGCAGTCTCATATTTTGTATTCCTATTAAAATTTTAGCCAAGTGCAGGTTGTCTGAAAATCCAAACATCAGAAATTCCATTCACACTGATCTATAATGAACCCAGTAAACATACCTTTAAAAGTACTTTGCTTTCTGTAATTTAGGAACTCTAGATCTGTGTATTTGGTGCTGCTACGCAGAAAGTGTTTACCTTCACTTACAGATAACAGCTGCTGCTTGAAAATCCAACAGCCAGAACATACTTAAAACACAGAGGATATTCAACACTATTCATTATAATAATGAAGATGCTAATACTTAAGAAGTACTTTCTGAATTAAAAATCTCCCATCTTCAAATTGGTAAGCATACCAGTAGTGTTTCTTACCAGTAAAACACCATCACTTTGTACCACTCACAGAGTGTAAAAATGATGATGTTACAGAACACTAAGTCCTTTTGAATCACTAAGATGTAGCTAAAGAAACATTTATGAAATCAGCATTTTTACTGGTTCAAGTTGCTGCAGGCATTGCCCACGTATTTTCACTTTGAAGGAGGCTGTTCCCTTGTAGGACACATTGTAAAGGTTTCAGAAACATACTGTTGAGCTGAATTGAGGGCCCAGCTCCACATAATCTGGTGTATACAGCTGAAAACTTGTACTCAAAGTGCCTCATAAATCAAGTTTCTTGAACATTTTGTAGTTTATTTCAAGTAAAAAAATGTGGAAAGTAAAAAGAAATTTGCCCATTGAATTTTCATTCATTACCTCAGAGTTTTAATCTTCAAATTTTATAGATCTAGTTGTATATTTGTCTATGTATACATTTTTGCTGGCACCGAGTTGAAATCCAAGACCAATTCCTCTGTGTTGCTTCAAGTCCATTGCTTTATCAAATTGCATCTTCAGAGCCTGCTGTAACTTCTCCTCCCCTTCCCTGTTCAGAGCCATGTTTGGTTTGTTCATAGTTGCTGAGGGGTTTTGGATAGGCACGGAGCCCTTTTTAAACCCACCCATCAGTCTAAAAAACTTCATTTTTTCCTCAGAACTTTGAAAAGCGGCTGTACTCCACTGGCCGAACTGCGTATCCTGTGAAGCAAAACAAGGTTAACGTTAGTATTAAATAATACCAAGACCAGAGACGACAATTTCTGGCTGTGGACCAGGAGAACAGAACAAGCTACAAAAACCCGGCAGGGCTGCCAAAGCTGAGATGCAGTCATTCTGTGGGTATTACCCCTTGAAGGACGTGATAAAAGAATGACATAACCCTCCATGAGTGCATCTTCATTAGCACCTCGCTCCGTTTAGCCTGGAGACAGGGCTCTGTGCACTTTCAGAATCTCCTTCCCCTCTGTCTTCAGGAAACTTTGGCTATTCTGTTCTCTGGATAGTATTTACCTAGCTCAAAGAGCCAGGCATTGCCCAGTTATTTCTCTTGTTCTAAGACAATTGTCAGACTGGATCTTCTTTTCTTTCCCTCTGTCATTTCGTATGATTATCTTTTCATTTCCCTATTGCCTAGTTAGGTAGCTGCTCTTTTCTGCGATGTTTTGTTATGTTGGTTTTGGTGACAGTGTTCAATCTGGCTCATACGCTTTAAGTAATATTTACCTTCTCATCCTACTAACTACCCCTGATAGTGCAAGGGTGCAAAAGCTGAGGGCACGCCCTTACCCAACAAGACTAAATCTAATGCCCTTAAGGGCTCCTTCCCTCGCAGTTTGCCGTGTTCTTTGTACTTGCTGTATTTGCCTCTCGTTATTCTTTGAACTAGTTCACTCCTTCAGAATTTTTCTTTTGTCTGCAGACACCGGCTCCGTTCTGAGAATACAGGCAATGTTCAAGTAAAATCAGAATTCAGCCATTTGTGCATCACCCAAGATGTACGAAGTTCGTGAACTTTTGGCTTACCTAAGAATGGGCTTCATTAGCTAAGGATCTTACTTGACTCCTGAGCTGTAGCGGGGAGCTGTGCGGTCATTTGTAACGATTTTTGGCTGACAGGACTGCTACTCACAAGTTTTTCTTTAAAATTGGGGGTGATATTAAATGGAAAAATGTTTGATCATTAATTAAATAGACTGAGCTGGCTATATCAAAGGGAAAAATGTGAATTTAGTGGTGTGTTTATGTAAGCCTGAAATCCTTCCAACTGAACAGTTGTAGCTTGCATGAAACAGTCATTCTCCACTAGACGGCCAACGCGAAACACAGCACGCTACACAAGACTGCTGGCAAAGCTGCATCAGGTTTTTTAAGTTTTAAAAAAATGCAAAGCTGGAGGATCATTCACTATCATGTCAGAATACCTCCTATTAAATGAAAGCTATCTGTAATACCTCCGTGTTTTTACCTTGCTCAAAGACAAGTTGCTGTATAAGCCCAGGTCTGTGACACAGACGCATGCACACATAAATACACGTGCTGCCTTTGGAATGGGAGGCATCTGCACAGATGCAAAAATAATTATGGCTTGTCAAACCCTGTAATTTTAAGTGAATTGCTGGCAGGCACTACACATAGCTGTCACTGCAGCATTTCCAGCTCACTCTTTCTGAAGCTGATGAATTAGTTTTCCTAGCTTCTATTCTTCTGCATACTACTAAGCAGAGACAGCACCAAAGAACTGAGATCCCGTGCCAAGGACGACACTTTTCTCAATGACTTCAGAGACTATTAGACAGTTGCACTTGCAGAGCTATTGCAGTCTGCCTCCCACGACGTCAAAAACTACAGGAGTTGTTTCTGGCATTTGTTTGAGGTATATTCCAACTTTCCAGGCATACTAGCAGTCTTGTGAAACAACCAGGAACCTTGAATTGCTAGCAAAGCTTTCTCTCCTGAATCTTACTACTACTGCTGCTAAACACTACTGCAACAGTTCCCAGTATCTTACTGTAGAGCTGTCAGGAGGCAGGCTGAGTAGGATGCCAAAGCCAGAAATAAAGAATTGTCTCCAAGAGAAGGAGAGGAAAGATGCAGACATTAGGAGAGGACTGTACATACAACACACATCCATTATCGGTTCTACATCCCTTTTACCCTTCTGTGTGCACCCCTGTTTCTGAATTCATATTTCACAGTAAGCAGAAAGTTGTTCTGTAGCAATCTGTCATGGCTCATTCTCCAGGGGAAACAGAGAAAATATTGCTTTTGAGCAGTACTGTGCAATGTCAACTGCTGTTAAAGTTCACTGGTCAGCTCCCAGGCTCTCTTGGGACTGTACTAACTTGTTCTATAGCATGACCTTAACTTTACAGTGAGGAGGAAGACTGTGGTGCCAGGCCGTGTTCCTGAGCCACACACAGAAATGAGTGCAGTGCATTTTTCAGGAACTTGCCCTGGGACACAGTATTTCCATGATATCAAGCTCTTAAGTTCATACATACCTGTTCCATTTTGGAATCAAAAAGCTTAGTTTTGCCAGATTCTCTATCGATTTCTTCTTGCAACGCCTGCCGCCTCACCTAGCATGCAGAAAAAACAGCACAAGACACTGTCTTCTGTGTGTTAAATGACAAATAATTTAATTCACAATGAAAAGATAAGGGATAATTGCAGGGATAATTTAAAAAGTTGTATGTGATCCTTCTCCACACTCAACGTGAGAACTATGATTTTTCTAGTGGTATTTTAAATGAACATTTTGCTTTATCAGGTATGTTTAATTATTTAACTGCAGGAAACAGCTACACTGAAACTCCAACATCCATGAGAGGCAAAGAAACCTGTATTTAACCCAATAAGCTACTTAGCGTCTGACACTGACTGGAGCTGTACATTTTAGACTTAACCCATGGAAGACAAAGCACATTTTAAGCACAGCTCTGTTTAAGGAAATCTTTGCACAGGAGAACAACAGAGCAGGTTTTCTGTTACAATTTCCATGCATACATTAAATGCTGACTTGCTTTAAATCTTACACAATTAAGATGAAGCATACCTTGTCTATGTTAACTTCATCACAGTTTCCCTTTTTTACCTGCACGATAGTTACATCATCGGCATGTTCCTATAAAACAGGAAAAGGCTTGCATGAATATTTGTATCTGTTCTGGTTAATTAGAATTTTCACAGCTCTGATCACAAAAGCAGTAAAACCATTAAGCAGTACAGTAGTACTGTTCTGGGGCAAGAAGTGATAGTCAGACCTAAGATGGAAGTGCCAGCTAAACCTGTGTAGTTCTATGGAGGACTTTCTCCCCAACGATAATTTTAAAAAATTCACACATTAAAATGGACCTTCCAGCATCGCTGACACATCTGCAAATTTCAAATTAAACCATTTTGTAAAGTTTAAATTTATCCTTGAAACCAGAGATAGAAAGAGTGAAAGTTAAAAAAAAAAAATTGGTGGTAAGATAATGGCCTCTGAAGGCACAGGACAAGCCTGAGGCATGTTCACTCCACTAGCCACTTCAAAAAAACCACAAGCAACACCCCAAAACACTTGAGAGGCACCTTGCATTGTGCTCTGTCTTGTGCAAATGCAGAGTAATGATGGTTCCCAAGGAGGTTCCAGCTTGGCAGGAGCACAGCGAGAGGCATGACACCCACATAAACTGCCTCTTACCAGGGCAGCCAACAGCACCGTTAGTTCCACGCGTGAGCTGGTGGGAAGGGCGGGAGCAGCTCCCGCAGCAGGGCCATGGGCAGCCAGACACTGGCAACTCACACAAAGCTTTTGCTCCCACCGACTGGCACCTCTAGATCGCTGCCCTCAGCCTTTCTTTTCCAAATTTGCAATAAGGGTAAGATTTTGGGGCATCCAGTGTAACAGGATAAGTAATAAGCCCAGGGTAGTGGTAAATTAGAGCCATAAGCTTTCGACCAGCCTGGAAAAGGTGGTCAAAGGGAAGATCTATTGATATGGCTAACACAGTAATCCAAGCATGAAATGGCCAGGGAACTGCTACAACAGGAAAAGATTTGTAACATACTTCTGTCAGCAGAAGCTGCTGTTACTTTTTTTGAGGGTTTACAGTTTTACTTAAAGCCATGAATGATTTACCTTGTTTTCAAAAGCTACCTTAACATTGCTTTCACACACAAACTAGTACATGCACCATTAAAAATGCGAGAACACTGTCTGCAACAAGGAAAGCTCATTCTCTTGGATGAAAAGAAAAACCATCCCCCAGTTTACTTCTAGATGGCCTGGTACTGTCTTTTTAGATCTATTAAAACAAGCACACAAACTGTCGTGACAGGATGCTGCAAACAGCTGCAATGTTATTTTTTATTTTTTTTATTTTAGCTGGAAGGTTAAGCAGCAGAGGAGGCAGGAACACTGCACCCCCGTCGTTGCTAATTCACAGCATGTTGCTGACCTGCTGAAGGCTACTGAGTGGCGAGAATTAGCCCCTGTGGAGGTGTGCCAGTCCTCCCCCAGCCTCTCGGAAGGGGGCACATTCACACATGGTATCTGGAGGCAAACAACTTCAAAGAAGTAAACCAAGCCCTCGCTCCTCCTCACTCTGCGTAAGCTGATTGTAATGGCATCCACTGGGAAAAATATCAATCACTGATATTAAGTGGGTATCGCCCCACGTTGTCTTTAAAAACTTTCTCTTTTGCAAGCTGCACAAGCCCAGCAGAGGATTTCTGAAGGCCCGCAGCAGTGTCTCAGGACTGTGGCACGGTTAAATTTAAGACTGACATTATCAGCCATTTATTACGGCAGTGTCTTCAGGCCTGCCAGGAAGTAGATTTCTCCAGAACCGATTTACTCAGGCTTTGCAATCTTCAGAAGTTCTCTGATGTACTTTCTGTTATTAAAGGACAGACTTGAATAGGGAAAATGCAGCAAAAAACCACACGCATCACTCAACCTCCTCCTCAACTGTCTGCAAGGTATTGCTGTGTTTTCTATTGTAATGCACGTTTACTTATTGTTAGGCTTATCTTGCCTCCACAGAACGTGAGCAGCTGGAAGAATCCAAATAAGGTCTAACAGCCTCAAAATGGCAATAGCAATTTAAGTAGAAAATAAATCCCACCTTGTCCTTTGAAAGGTCAAAAGGAGATACCTAAATGAAAAGCCCCAAACATCTGCTCACCTACTGACTGATAAGCATACACCCTCCCAATGCAAACCTTTGGGGAGAAAGTCTCTGTGGAGGCTGATGAACCTGCTTATATAAATCTGTATTTAATTAGTAGCATCAGACACCAGAAAGCTGCTGAGTTTCCACAGAGCATGAAGAAATTGCATATGTAAGTGCGTAACAAAGCAAAACACACTGTTAAGTGTGCGCAAGAGGCAGCTAGTGCTATGGCCCACAATTTTTGTACTAGCTTATAAAGATCTTCAATGATGCTTTATTAACTAGCCAAGCATTCAAAGTTCTTGATAAAAACCAACTGAAGCCCAGTTTCCCACTGCCTGTGAAAATAAAAACAAGCCCCTAATGACTGCAGTGAGCTGTTTACAAAGTTAAGTACCTAGAAGTACAGATGGGTTTCTATGGAATTTTTTAACATTTCACAGCTTAATTCCCAGTGAAAACAACAGAGGTTAGGCTTATAGGCACTAACTTTGCCACTTTGCTAGGAACAACTGAAGGAGGGACTGAAGATTTGTAACTGTACACACTGCTTTCCTTTTTGAGCCAATATTTGCTGTTAGTTGTAATATTTACATTTTCACAACTGAAACACTGTATGACTACAGCAGTGGGCATTAAAAGCTACTTTCCCATGCTTCCCAAATCTAACGTGCTAAAATCAATAGATCAGCTGATCCTGCTTCTCAAAAAGCAGAGACCTCTTCTGACCTCCGTGTACCCTATGGTTCTGAACAGGCAGAACAGCCTGCAAAACAGGAAACTGTTGACCTACAAAGCTTTCAACTCCTTAGCAGGAGGGTGCAGAGACACCCTCTTCTTTTACAGCTTACCAGTGCCTCAATTCCCAAGTCTCCTCTTCTGATCTTTTTTGTGTCTGATTTTGAACCTGGTTCCTCGGCAAAGTCCTGCGGTACATCTTTCTTCCTTTTTTTCCTTTTTCTGTCACAGAGCGTATGATCACTGTTGCATAATACTCGATCTACAGCGTCCCCCGTGACACATTCAGCTTGCTTCACAGCACTCTCTTTGTTCTTTTTATTGATTTCTAGTAGTGTTATTTTTTGGCTTTTGGATGCACTGTCACTTTTTAAAGAAACTTCTGAATATGTTGTTTCCTCCTTCTCTTTCTGAATCTTTTTTTTCTTTTTCTTCCTGAAGACTTCATTATTACCCTTAATATTCTTCCTGCTTTTTTTTCCAGAAAGCTCCTCTTTGTCAAACTCAACTTCTCCCAGCACAGGGAGATGCTTATCAGGAACTCTGTGGCTGGAGTCTTGATTACATTCACATGTTAAGGAAGAAGCATCTTTGCTCCTCTTCTTCTTCCTCTTGGTCTCTCTGATACTTCCAGAGTTCTCAGTTGGGTCCTTTTCCTCCTTGATTATCCATGTAATTTCCTGGAAATTCTTTCTTTGCCTTTTTCTGATGTCGCTTAATGCAACGGGGCCATCGGGAACTCCAGAGATGATGTCCTGATTATCTGCTAGTGGTAAAAAAGAGTCAGACCTATCTTTCTTTTTCTTTTTCTTCTTTCTTCTCACATAACTCTCCCTGCCATTCTGGATAATATCTGTTCCATAGTTTTCACCCATAAAAGCTTTTTCTTCTGAAATGTACTTGTGTGATTTTTTACAAACTTCTTCAGACTGTTTGTGTTCACTGTGCTGGATGTCCTCTAATGAAAAAGAAAAAATGCCTTTCTTCTTTTTTTTCTTAATTACTGCACCATCCACTTCCAAACTCAATGCAGTATTCTTTCTGGGTTTTTTAAAAGCAAATTTGTTTTCCTTAGTACCATCTGTACAATGATTTGAAAGTTCCACATGACTGCTCTGATTATCCTCCAATGATGAGGACAAATAATACTGGACTTCTTTTTTCTTCTTTCTGAGAATTTTAATTTGTTTCTCTGATTCTTCTTGAGATTCTGAACGCAGATGGCCGCCTACATTCACAAAGCTTTCTGAATGTGCTTCTTTCAGTAATTCAGAGCTAACTTTCTTTTTCTTGTTTTTCTTCTTTTTCTTCAGTTCTAATTGGTCTAAACATTCATCTTCTTTTAAATTTTTCTTTTTCCTTCCTTTTGTTTTTTTCTCAAGCTGGTCATCATCTTCAATTTTAATAACAGTTTGAACATTGTTCTCAATTTTAATAATAGTCTGGCTCCTACTAATTTTCACCTTTTTCTTTTTCTGTACAGGTTCCTCACGAAGTTCTTTTCTCTTTTTCTTTATAATCATTCTAGAAAACGAAATGAAGATGTTAGTGCACGCTTCAACACGAGGACACAAGTTCTAGTCTACTTGGTCTTCCTTTATTGTGCCACCATCCCATATCTCTCACTGGCCCCAACACTCTTCTTCCACTTTCACAACCCATGACGGAGGGAACCAGAACTGCACGCAGCACTGGAAATACAGTCTGCTGGAGTGGTCAGGAGCTCATTTTCTGTCTTGTTCTTCAGTGCTGGCCTAGTTAGTTGGTAACTTTGGTTTTTTTTGACAGCGGCTGATCACCTCCCCAGAACTATCTACCCTCCCACAGTCTTTTCTATAGAAAAAAGGACAGGGCACATACATCACCTGGTAAGTTTCGCTGAGGTGGTTTTCCACGTCTGCAAGACTTTTCACTTATGTAACACGGAACTTCACTTCGCTGCCAGCCTGGCGTTACACGGCCCCAGGCAGGCACCTCACTTACTCCTGGCGCTTGCCCCTGTCTGCAGCTTCTCGTCCGGCTCCTTCCCTTCTCGGGCCGTGTACGCCCCTGGTGACACTCCCGCCCTTTGCCGGGGCCCTCAGCCA